CTACCTTAAGTAACAAGGGAAATTTATTAATCCATGTAAACAAATTGTATAAACGGGGGGGGGGCGGTTAGAGTTTTCAGAGTTAACTTGAATTCAGTGTTTCTGACTTGGGTCTAAGTTCTTAGGGCTACATGTTGGCCTTATTATCTCAGCCTCCTCCAAGTCTCAGGATAGATGGCCCAGAATCTCTAGATTAATAACTTTACAGGCTACAATTCAAAGAAAAGGAGAATGCAACCACAATGAGATACCACCACACACCCATCAAATGTTGGCAAAGATGTGAAACAAGAAGAACTCTCATTCATTACTGGTGGAAATGCAAATTAGTGCAGCCACTCTGGAAAACACTTTGGCAGTTTCTTATAAAACAAAATGTACCTTTACCATGTGATTCAGTAATCATGCTCCTTGGTATTTACCCAAATGAGTTATGACCACATAAAACCTGTACGTAGATGTTTGTTATCAGTTTTAGTCATAACCGCTAAAATTTGGAAACAACCAAGGTATCATTTAATAGGTGGAGGGATAAATAAACTGTAGTATATCTATACAAATATGATCCAGTGCTAAAAAGAAATAAGCTATCTAAATCAGAAGTCCGCAAACTACATCCTACTGACCAAATCTGGCCTCCTGCTTGTTTTATAAAGCTTTATGGAAACCTAAAATTTACAAAATAGAAATTAGGTGTGAAGCTATAAAATTACACGAAAGAACCTCAAATGCATCTTGCTAAGTGAAAGAAGCCAATCGGAAAAGACTACATACCGCATGACTCCAACTATGTAACATTCTGGAAAAGGCAAAATGCTCTCTCCCCTGGTTTCCTGAAATAAATCCAGAGAATAACACCGCTTGCCCTACTTATGGTTATATGCTCATCCCTGAGACTGTCACTGTGGTCAGAAGAATGGTATATACACTGGCCAGGTTACAGGCCCACTCCTGTAGCTTGGAGAGGGGCAGAGTGACATGGCCAGGCGTGCCATGCAGTGGCCGCCCCAGAATCACGTGAGGTGAGTGGAGGAGGAGGGGCTCTCTGAAGGGTCGGGGCAGAGGAGAGCAGTGCTGTTATCAGGAGGAGGGAAGGATGGTAGGCAGAATAAGAAAACAATGGCTACCACCTGTATTATGGATGTATTTAAAAGTTTTTTTTTTAATGTTTTTATTATTTATTTTTGAGAGATGGGGAGGGGCAGAGAGAGAGGGAGACACAGAATCTGTCAGCACAGAGCCCGACCCCACAAACCGTGAGATCATGACCTGAGCCGAAGTCAGACGCCCAACCGACTGAGCCACCCAGGCACCCCTAAAAGTTCTCTTTTAAATGTTTTTTTTAGGGGCACCTAGGTGGCTCAGCCGGTTAAGCATCCAACTTCGGCTCAGGTCATGATCTTCACGGTTCGTGGGTTCGAGCCCCACGTAGGGCTCTGTGCTGACAGCCAGCTCAGAGCCTGGAGACTGTTTCGGATTCTGTGTCTCCGTCTCTCTCTGATCCTCCCCAGCTCACGCTGTATCCCTCTCTCTCTCTCTCAGAAATAAATAAAACATTAAAGAAAATTTAAAAATTTTTTTAAAAGGAAAAGGACATGTATCACTTTCCAGTTTATAAAATGTGGTACCATTTCAAAAGAGGATTAATGGAGGGGTGCCTGATTGGCTCAGTTAGAGGAACATGTGGCTTTTGATCTTGGGGTCATGAGTTCAAGCCCCAAGTAGAGATTAAATAAATAAAACTTTAAAAAAAAGAATTAATGGAGAGAAGATCAGTGAGAAGACAAGAGTTGAGAAGCAGAAAGGAAAAACATATAGAGAAGGAAAAGATCTTAAGAAGGGGGCATTTAAGCCCTGAAGACATTGTCTTTCCTACTATATGTGGGCAAAATTGAATTCGTAAAATTATATTTATATAAACTAGAATAATTATATCCTTTAGATAATAATACACATAATATACAATATACATAAGATGTAATAAAAAATATATATACACACACACATATTTTGTTGCAAAAAGGAGGTTTTATTAAAGTATGGGGACAAGACCCATGGGAAGAAAGAGCTGCCTCTTTAATCATATTTTTATAGACAAAGATGTAACTCTGGGAAACCAGTTCTAGCCAATAATATGGAGACAGAGTGTCCTGTGTGAGAGTTCCAAGAAAGTTACTGTTTCCTGATCAGGTAAGATCTTTGTAAAAGGGACATTTAGACCTAGACGTGCAGCAGCCCTCTGGCAAGCGTAACGACCAAAGCCACATATCAAAGAAGATGGAACAGAAAGACAGAAGGAATCTGTGTCCCAACTGCATTGTGGAAGCACCTCACCAGTCCCAGACTCCCTACCTCTGGACTTCTTGTGTATGAGAAAAAGACCCCAAAACTTATTTGGTCAAGCCACTGCAGTGAGCTTTCTATGACATGCAGCAGGACACTGATCTCTTAAATGATACAAAAAGCTATCATCACTTTTATCACTATCTCTACGAGTCACAAGTTATACAGTTGTATTAAAAATGTAAAATCTTCTCACCATATTCCACCAAAGACCAACTGTGTGTTTTTAAGATGGCTGTAAAGGGTGCACTGGGTGGGTGCGGGCATCTATCTGTTTTGTGTTTTTTTAATAATTTTTTAATGTTTATTTATTTATTTTGAAGGAGAGAGAGAGAGAGAAAGTAGGGGAGGGGCAGAGAGAGAGGGAGAGAGAGAGAATCCCAAGCAGGCTCTGCACTGCCTGCACAGAGCCTAACCTGAGGCTCGATCTCACAAACCGTGAGATCATGACCTAAGCTGAAACCAAGAGTCAGATGCTTAACCGACTGAGCCGCCCAGGCACTCCTTGGAAGCTATCTATTTGGTGCATGAATGGAAACTAAGATTCTGACTGGATCAATAACATTCTCAACCAAATGAGAGTTACACTTTATCCTAGATTCTTGCTTTTATAAAATTATATATCATAGCATGGCTTTATTCTGAAAGAGTCCTGATTACTTTCTATGAATTCCTCTATTTATGCTCATTTAATCCTTAATATATAATCAAGGCACTTCTATCAGTAACAAGTAATAAAAACCGTATCATTTCTCATTAACCTTTTATTTTTAACTTAGTTTTACAATAAAGAAACAGAAAAGAAGTAGATCATTAAAAAAATACCAGCTGTCCATTTAAAATTTTAAATGAGGTTCTTGTTAAACAAAGCAGTAACACTATATCCTATAATTACACCTTTACTTGTATATACAAGGACTGTGTGCAAAGTGCTTTTCAAACTATAAAATAAGACTTTGGAATAGGATATAAACGGTTATCCCTAGCAGTTAGTTACTTCCCACTGCCTGTAATAAATCACAATTGCTTACATTCTTAATTTGCATTTAATTTATTTATTTACTAAGAGAAAAGCCACCATTTTCTGGTACCAAATTGATATCTAATTTTTGAAAATAATCCCTGATCCACAGGTCTAAACCTTATTTTTACATATAATTCAGTTACTTGCTTCATTTTTCCCCTAAATAAATAGAGGACAGTTTTTAAAAAGCAAATATTAGACAGACACGTTTTAATCAGATATGATTAAAAAATAAAAAACACCAAGTTACATGAAAGAAAAAAATACGGAAAAAAGATTCTTGAGGAAAGCAAACTGTATTCTTACACTTTTTTCTTCAGGCAAACAAAAAACCATCCTCTATACGAGGGCTGGATTACTTTCTTACTGAAAACACTCAGAACACATGATGCTTAACCCAACATCACACATACCAAGAATGCTTAAAAAGTATTTGTTACTATGCCTTCGAATGAGAGAAATCTTTAAGGTACAAGGTACATCTAACGAGTGAAGTTCTGGAAGACACCCAGGAAGAATAATTCCAAACAAAGCCTTCAAGGATCTAAACTGCAGTCTTTTTTCTTTTTTTTAGTCTCAACGGGAGCTGGGCGGAGGACACTGAAGTTTACATTAGTTGGCTGTGCCTTTTTCATATGGAAGCATATGGCCCACTAGCTTGCAAATCCTTCCATTACCCCTGTGAAATAGGTGTATCTCAAATATTATACCCGAAGGAAAAATGGAGGCACTAGGAGGTTAAGAGTCCAGTCTGTATAGTTCACCAGTTACAGAAAAGTGATTTTCATGTGTTTCCTTTTTGACCTTTGTAAAAACAGTATAAATAAGTTTTCATTTTATATTTCAAAGCACCCTATGAAGCAGAAACAAGATATCCTCAGTTAAAGAAAAACAATTACAAAGGAATAAATGTATACGGTTGAATAAAATCTTATCAATGATCTACAGGCTCAGAGTATACTTTCAGACCTACTTGAAGCCCATGCATCATTCCCATCAACAGATTAGGTCTATTTTGTGTTCTTCTGTAAAAAGTAAGCCTGGTACACAGGGCTCTACTTTGTAGTAACATCGCCTGAACACTCAAGTCAGTGCTGTGAATGCCCAAGAGAGATCATGAGCAGCCCACAGAGTGGACATGGAGAAGAATCTTCTAGCAGTTTTCTACTCCTTGGCATGGCAATTCAGCGACTAGGATAGAAAGTTGATTTAATCTCATTTGAAGTTCACTCTTGGTTTGCACTCTTTCTCATATTTAATTCAGAAAATTAAAAAATCCAGTTATAAATCTGATCTCATTATCACAACTGTACCTTGGAAAAGCAGCTTATAGTTCTCTATGGGAGATAATCAGGTAAACGTGTTACCAAACAATCATTAATAATTTAATGTCCTTCAAGTTTAAGGGTAGGGTAAATCTATGTATGTATGCTATTTGTAACCTAGTTGAGATTAATTATTCAAGTATCAGCAATATTAGTCCTTAAAATGTTATATTTGTGTAGTGCAAAATATATATATGTATATATGTACACAAACCAAACTATTGGATGACAAAAAGAAGTGTAATCATCACAAACAACTAAGATTCTCTTGTGAGCTCCACAATGCATTTCATTCTGACGTCATCCAGGCCCAGTAGTCTTCTGGAGTAAAACACCAGTTTCTTCAGTTCAGTTTTCTTTAAAGAGAAAGTAAAAACCAATTTCCTATGAATATAAATGCAACCTGAATATGAAACACACCCGTACCAAAGAATCATCTGAATGAAGACACAACAATAATATTCACATTCAAGATCAAACCATAAAATCACCAACGGTCCTTAAGAAATGACTTTTCATCCTTTTCTAGTTGGCTTAACGCAATTTCGAATTTTGGGAATTATTTTCTAACAGGAAAATTGTGAAAGAAAAAACCTCAATAAAACTACAAACAGTTGGTAGATGTACAACCTAAGATTACTCATTTAATGAACAGATAGTCCATATCTGTTACTTGCCAGGCACTGGGGATTCAAACATAAATGAGGCAGGCTCTCAGCTGTCAAAAGAGCTTTCAGGTTAGTTTCGGGGGGGGGGGGGGAGGGCGTGGCGGGGTAGGTAACATGACAGTTTTAGTGATAAACAAGCGATCAGACAGGCGGCTTGTTAGCACAAGATACAACAATCACATATGACCTGAGGTCTGGGAAAGGTCCCACAGCTATAAAATCTCATCACCCTCCCCAGCACTCAAGATGCCAAAATGCCTGAAACCTTCTCATTACGGATACATTCCTCACCTCTGCAGAAATGCTCTTATGCAACCCCCTTGGCAGGAATGATATTTTAAGTAATCAGATCATCCCTTATCCTCTGTAAAATCCTCGTATGTATACTTCCCTGGTAGGAGTGACATTTTAAATAACATAAGGAGATCCCTCAAGGCATGATGGGGGGAAAAAGGCCCCTGGGACCAGAACAGGATTGTGGGTGGTTCTAAAAACTAACTGTCTGAGTGAGGTTTTAGCAGAAATGTTAGCTGGAAGGTGCCTGAACAGTGAGCAACACTTACTAAGAACCCATACAATGAAGATTCCTACACAAGATCCTCTCCAGGTTTATAAAAAAACACACAGCTCTCTGAACCCCCAATCTCCTGTTGTAATACAGAAATAGAGAGAAATGCCCAGCATTATCTTCAGAACTATTTAGAATGTTTTTCAGGCTCTTCGTGAGATCTTTCTGTCCTTCTTTTCTGTTTAAATTAACTTGCAAAATGTAGGGCGAGGTGTGGTAAGAGAAGAAAAGTTACAGAAACGACAGATAAGGGAAGAGGAAAATGCTCTGCCTTTTACCTTGCCCTCTGCACTATCTGCTCTGGCTGTACCGCTGAGGCTCTCTCCCCTCCTCAGAAGCCGGGACCGGACTTTTCCAGGCAGTACCATCTGTCCCAGGCCCCAGTGGAAGAGTGTTCCTACAGAGAGCCCTCCCACACCTGTCTGGTTTTTATTACCTCTCTCCTGAAAGTTCAGTGCCCGCCAGAAAATTACATTTTGTGTATTCATGAATCTGGGCAGAATGATATAGAAAAGTGGTTATGAACATCATTTCCTTCAAAGGAATAGCTTAAGAGTAGTCTCTTGGACTGAACAGGTCTGCTTTTAGTATTTTACTAATGGGTAATTTTATTAGAATGGTCAGGTGAGGTAATTGGAAAGAGGCAGACCCACAGGAGGCTTCCCAGGGCCCAATTTTGAACAAGAAAGTCTCCAATTGTTTCTGTTCATATCACATTCAGAAAAAAATGTTTTGTTTTGCTTTGTTTTTCTGATCTACTGCAAAGTGATAACGTGAGAAATTTACTTTTGAATTTTTATTCTTCTACACTGGGGAAAAAAACCCAAGCAGTGGACCTTATACATCGCTTTCAATGTTTAAAAACAAAACAAAACATCTTTTTAAAAAGCTTACCACAAGGGCGCCTGCGTGGCTCAACTGGTTAAGAGTCCGTCTTGATTTTGGCTCAGGTCGTGATCTCACAGTTGGTGAGACTGAGCCCCCCGCCCTCCCCATCATCAGGCTTCAAACTGACAGTGCGGAGACTGTTTGGGATTCTCTTTCTCTCTCCGCCCCTGCCATGTTACTTCTTTCTCTCTCTCAAAATAAATTAAAAAAATAAAAAATTTACCATATACAGCTACTTATTTTATATATATATATATATACATATATATATAAAACTATTTGTACCCAGATGCGTAGTTATTAAATAAAAATGAAAAGAAAAAAATTAAAAAGAAATAAATTTTAAAAAATGAAAGCTTTCTGTACCATATGGTACTTCAGTTTGCCATCCTGCAAATAGTGACCATTCAGCCAATCATTCGGCATTTACCGTAAGCCAGATACTGTTTAGGGGATGAGACACGGGATGGTCCCTAATATGAGTGAGGTACATCCACTCCTTTCCACGCTTTTTCCACCCTAACTAGATTTCTGGACCTTCATCTTTAACACAGAACTTGTCTACTCCAAACCACACACTGCTGTCTAGGTTTCATTCCTGTAGCTGTCAGATTCAAAATTGCTACACACTTCCAGATTTTTTTTTAAATGTTTTATTTGTTTTTGAGAGAGAGAGAGAGAGGCAGAGTGAGTAGGGGAGGGTCAGAGAGAGAGGGAGACACAGAATCTGAAACAGGCTACAGGCTCTGAGCCGGCTGTCAGCACGGAGCCCGACATGGGGCTCAAACCCACGAACCGTGAGATCATGACCTGAGCCGAAATCAGACGCTTAACCAACTGAGCCACCCAGGTGCTCCTACACACTTCCAGATTAAAAGATGTCTTAAACCCCTCAAGGCTGAAACTTATTTCCATATCAAATACAGCTCTATCTCCAAACTGTTAATCTGTTGTGTAGATAAGCAAGCAGTACCTAAAAACACTATCTCATCAAAATGCAGTTGCACAGTGCTAAATAACTGGTAACTGGATGACTAAACACTTAACATACTGAAAACTTGATAAAAATTCAACAAAGTAGAATGTTAAAAATCAGCAAGAGTTTCCCATTTGGAGACACCTGTAAATAACCGAAAGGGCAGTGGTGTAGACATTCACAAATAAGGAGTAATCTTAAAAAATATTCTAGAAAAAACTGCAATTTTTGGTGACTGCTGAAACAAAGTAGTTGTTTTTTCTTTCAGTCTTTACTAAGTGACAAGCAGTTTCAAACTTAAGCATAAAATAAATTATTAACCGAAGTAAGCTTTCGGGTTTTTGTCCTGTGCCAAATTTCTCTACTCTCCATTCCTCAACTTTCTACAAAGGAAACATGAAAAGGAACTTTGAAATGCATTGCAAAATATGTCAACACCTTCAGTGTCACTGTACCTGCTGCTTGAGTCTAGCATTCTTGCTACATTGTGAAAAAAAGGTTTGGTTCTGTTCTCCTCCAATTAGCAGGGAAATTAAAATTGAAGCACTGCGTAACACTAGACCTAACCATCATAGCAGAAATGTAAAATGTGTGAAAATTAGAAAGGATTTAAACTGGGGCGCCTGGGTGGCTCAGTCAGTTAAGTGTCTGACTTCAGCTCAGGTCATGATCTCATGGTTTGTGAGTTTGAGCCCCATCTTGGGCTCCGTGCTGACAGCTTAGAGCCTGAAGCTTGCTTCAGATTCTCTCTCTCCCTCTCTCTCACCCCACCTCCTCTCACACTCTGTCTCTCTTTCTCTCTCTCAGAAAAAAAAAGCATTAAAAATTTTAAAAAAATTTTTTTAAATTTTTTTTTCTGAGAGAGAGAGAGAGAGACAGCGTGAGCAGGGGAGGGTCAGAGAGAAGGAGAGACACAGAATCTGAAACAGGCTCTAGGCTCTGAGGTAGCTGTCAGCACAGAGCCTGACGTGGGGCTCAAACCCATGAACCGTGAGATCATGACCTGAGCCGAAGTCAGACACTTATCCAACTGAGTCACCCAGGTGCCCCTAAAATTTTTTTAAAAAATAGAAAGGATTTAAACTAAGGTCTGTTGAATCCTTACACAAACCTTACACACAGCTGAAATAACATCTATAACAAATACCTTAGAAAAGAGGTAAATAATGCTGTGAAAACAATCTGTGTTTCTGAAATCCTACTAAAGTTTTTTCAAGTGACTGGGTGTAATGGAAGAACATTAATGTGGCACAGAACTTATTCTTTTATGAACATAAATAAAGTTGTCTTTTTTTTTCTTTTTAAAATTTTTTAATGTTTTATTTATTTCTGAGAGAGACAGAGAGAGAGAGAGGGCATGAGCAGGGGAGGGTCAGAGAGACAGGGAGATACAGAATCTGAAACAGGCACCAAGCTCTAAGCTGTCAGCACAGAGCCCGACACGGGGCTCAAACCCATGAACTGTGAGATCATGACGTGAGCTGAAGTCAGATGCTTAACCGACTGAGCAACCCAGGCACCCCAAAATTGTCTTAAAAAAATTTTTTTTTAATGTTTATTTTTGAGAGAGACAGAATGTAAGTGGGGGAGGGGCAGAGACAGAGAGAGACACAGAATCTGAAGCAGGCTCCAGGCTCCAAGCTGCCAGCACTGAGCCCGATGCGGGACTCGAACTCATGAACAGTGAGATCATGACCTGAGCCAAAGTTCAACATTTAACTGACTGAGCCACCCCAAAACTGAGCCAGCCACCCCAAAATTGAGCCAGGCACCCCAAAATTGCCTTAACATAAGCTGGAATCAGGAAGACTGATACATCCAAATCCCCATGCATTTCAGTTTCTCTGGCATCAACTATGATCACTGGAGCACTTACACTAACTAGTACGCTGCTTATCCCTTTTAGAGAAGAGAATGGCAAATGTCTGGTTTCTGGTTTCGTTAGTTAGGGTAGTTAATTAGGAACTTGGGTTGTTTGCTACAAGAACAACATATCCTTAATCATTTAAACTCATAGATATTTAAAAATGTGTCTCTATTGCACATATTTAAGAGAGCACCTAAAATATTATGACTGAATACCCTATTTTTCCCCCCATCTGTTGTTACTTAATGGAAAATGGTGATGATATACAAAAACATAGTAAGTGAAGCCATCAGTGATAAACAATTGTCTCCATCCCCATCCAAGGAAAGTAATTCAGTTTACATAGTATCTTAAAAAAAAAAAAATGCCTTGGGGCGCCTGCGTGGCTCAGTCAGTTGAGCATCGACTTTGGCTCCGGTCATGATCTCACGGTTCATGGGTTCGAGCCCCGCTTGGGTTCTGTGCTGACAGCTATCTCAGAGTCTGGAGCCTGTTTTGGATTCTGTGTCTCCCTCTCTCTCTGACCCTCCCCTGCTCATGCTTTCTCTCTCTCTCTCTCAGAAATAAATAAAACATTAAGAAAAAAAAAAAGAAACTAGAAAAAAATGCCTTAAGGATTTTCTTTGACCCAAGAGATTCAGTCTCAGGTTCCTAACCTAGACAATCTCAGAGCCCTTTCAAGGATCCTAATCTATTATTCTCATGCCTATTTGAGGTATCTCCTGGCATCCCGAATTTTGGCCCTCAAATTAGAAATATCTCTATTTCTAGAGTTGTCAATCATCCATCTAAAGTTTTCTGAAATGTCAATGTCTATTCCAAAGGTACAGAGAGCAGGCAAGCATTATTTATTTATCCCTTGTCTACAGTTCTTTCATATTAGCAAAGAGCCCAAAATAAACATCAGACTTTAGTTTTTTAAAGTCTAACAAGTACCTAGAAATCCACTAGATATCATTTCCAAGGTAGTTTCAGTTTCAGGATCAGTACAGAATGTTCAGTATGACAATATATCTATAGAATGGAACTGTCCCCTTAACTGTTGAAAGCTCTACTATAGAATATAAGATTTTGCTACTATTTTGAATTAAAAAACTACAGTATTACCTTCTCCTTCTTTGATAATATAAATGCACCAACCACTGGGCAATAAAAGGCCATACGATAGCAAAAGTTAATGCACCAGGAGACATCTCAAAGGGCCACCAAGATGGTCTCTGAGAAAATAAAATAAGCTGGTCACCAATCTATTACATATTACATGCATGAACATAAAAACATACTTAACTCATAATTTTGAAAATATACAACTTAATAACAGATCTCAGTCCTGCTAAAGAGAAGGAAGATATTCAGTATCTCAGAGCGTAATTCAGTAAGTAGACTTTTAGGAGTACTTTAGACTTAAACAATAACAAATATATTTTAACTTCAAAGCTCTAAGGGGTAGCTTTCATCTGGAATACTTTAAGAACCTCATATAATCTAAATTTATTGTAGGTTATTTGAAATCCTGGGGCTTAGATTTAAGAAAAGAATTTCTTACCTGTGAGGGAGGCTGATGACTGGGCTGTAATGTTGATGATTTTGCCTATAAACACAAATAACAGTGATTCAGCTTTGACAAAATGGGAAAAAAAAAACGGTAATTTTTCTATTTCCTATCTTTTTTTTTTTAAGGCTAAAATATTAGTTTATTATGTTTTTCTGCTAACTATGCTGTGATTATCCTGAAACCCATACTGGCCAAATAACAAGGTCCCTAAAATTGCTAGTCAGGTAAATCTTTGATATTTTATATTTTACAGTTGAAATTATATAAAATTATCAAAATAAAACCGTGAATTACTTCTTTTATACTGTTATTAAATTACTGAATCAGGGGTATCTAGGTGGCTGTTGGTTAACCATCCAACTCCTGATTTCAGCTTATGTCGTGAACTTATTAGGCTCCTGAGGTCCAGGCCTGTTTCAGGCTCCATGCTGGGCATAGAGCCTGCTTAAGATTCTTCCTCTCCCTCCCCCTCAACCCCCACCCCACAAATGTGCTCTCTCTCAAAAAAACGGAATCAACTTTTCTTATTAATTCTTTAATTTCCATACAAATTACCATTTACAAACATATCTGAGAACTGCAGCCTTATTATTAAAATTATAAATCATATCCAAAGATCTGTTTTGCAAAATCATGATAAGTTATAACGCAAGAGGAATGGCAGATATGTGAAATAAACTGTTAGTATTGTAGGTTTGTTTTTTATTTTTCCTTGGCTTTACTGAAGTATAATTGACAAATAAAATTATACATATTTATGTGATGATTTGATGTGTATGCACTGTGAAATGATTATCATAATCAAATTAATGAACACATGCCTCACCTCACATAATTACCTTTTTTGTGGGGAGGAGTAGTGTAGGGTTTTCAATGAGATATCTAAACTAAGTCAAAAAATCTCAAATTAATTTAGGAAACTTATATTCCAATTTGGATCACAAAACAAATTTCCTTATGATAGTTGTTGGAAACTTATTAGTACCATTTTTCCATTTATTACAACTTTAGAGAAATGGTATGAAAATTAACGAGATCATTCATTTATTCATTAAACAAACATTTACTGAACTTGTACCAGTTACAACTCTGGGCATTAGACATAAAACGGGAAGTAAAATAACAAAAATCGCTATTCTAATGGAGTTTAAACTGTAATTGAGAGATACGAATAATAATGAATAAATCAGTAAAATATACAGTGTATCAGGTAGTGAGAAACACCATAAAGAAAAATAAAATGGGAGAGGAGATGAGACATGTTGGAGGAGGAGAATCTTGCAACTTTAAATAGAATGAACAGGGATGGCTTTCCTGACATTCGAGCAAAGACTTAAACAAGAAAACAGTGTGCTAAGTGGCTAATGGGGAACCATCTTCTGTACACAGGGACTCCAGGGTGGGAGGGAGCCTGTGGGCAGGTTCAAGTCACAGCACTATGGTCTGTATGCTCAAACAACAGAAGGAAGTGGTGGGAGGAGACAGGCTTTAAATTTCCTTGTTGTGGGTAATTGATCTCCAGGACCCCAGTATGGGTATACCCTAAGGTAAAAACCATTAGTTACCTCTAGATGTTACATTAGTCCTCACAGACCATTAAGGTGTTTTTATTTTTGTTTTGCTTTTTAAAATTTTTTAATATTCTATTTATTTTTGAGAGAGAGAGACAGCGTGAGCAGGAGAGGGACAGAAAGAGAGAGACAGAATCCGAAGACAGGCTCCTCCACACTCTGAGCCAGCTGTCAGTACAGAACCTGATGCGGGGCTCGAACCCACAAACCGTGAGATCATGACCTGAGCTGAAGCTGGACGCTTCAATGACTGAGCCACCCAGGCATCCCGACCATTAAGGTGCTAAAGAAGAGTATACTCAAATTGCCAAGTGCTGAAAGAATCTAGACAAGGTAATGATTTGTATGATATTAGTTGTAATTGTACCTTGTAGGCATAACTATATTTTACCTAGAGATTTGCCTTAAGGTGCTTCTTAAGACTAAATGGAATTAAGGGTAGATTTACAAAATTGAGCTCCAAGTATATGATGATTTATCCAAGGTCACATTAGTTAGCATAATCTTTTTTTTTTTTTATTTATTTATTTATTTCTAGGAGAGAGAGAGACAGCGTGAGCAGGGGAGGGTCAGAGAGAGAGGGAGTCACAGACTGAAACAGGCTCCAGGCTCTGTCTGAGCTGGCAGTCAGCACAGAGCCTGACGCGGGGCTCGAACCCACGAACCGCGAGATCATGACCCAAGCGAAAGTCGGACGCTTAACCGACTAAGCCACCCAGGCGCCCCTAGTTAGCATAATCTTGAATGGAACTCGGAGGATCAAATCCCAATGTGATGACACAGCTATTCTTTAAAGCAGCAACTACTAACAAACACTAAGCTAGAGTCAGAACTATGAAATGTTGACTGCCAGTGGTTTTTTTTCCAAATAATAAATAAAATGAAGATTCCCAAAGACCCTCGCTCATATCTAAGAAGCACTGACACTAGCTGTATAATTAGCAGTACGAGTTTTTGCTTTAATATTTACCCATACATGTTGTTAAAGAAAAATACAATCAATGACACTTGTGAAAGCACAGTAAGGAAGACTTTATACAAGGGAGAAGGGGCTGTCACTGTGGGTACAGGGACTTCTATAGTCAGGGGGAGACAGATTGGCCTCATCTCCCAATACAGCACGGGCAAGGGAGAATTAATTAATGTAAGGAGGAGGGCTGGGATCAGTGGATGGAAAATTCCTAAGAGGGAACATCATGGGTAAGGGAGATTCTGGTTAAACCAACCTAACAGGATTCTTGCTGAAGATGGGCCAAGGTGATCAGACAGCCTTACCTGGGGTAAGACGGAGCCTAAGAGCCTGTCTGGTTTAAACTGAGCAGGGTTCTTGATGAAACTGGATTTTACAAGGAAGAAGTGAAGAGATGGGCCTAAGAGAAGGTCCAAGAGTCTGACTAAAATTTAATTGAACAAAGAATCTTTGTTGGTATCAAGTGGCTTTTATGTAGCTTTGACATAGTTAGATTCTATTTACCATTCAATTGCTGGATTAAGCTAAATTACTGCATTTTTTGGAAAATACTTTTAAAAGGAAAAATCCCATATAACTGTAACCACTGCAAAGAAAATATGAAGACAGAGAATTATTTAAGTTAGGTCCTCTCTAAGGCTGTGAACATCATTGCTATTGTTACCATCAGCATCTCATGTGATACTATGTAAATGTCACATGGGTATCCCAGGCACTGTACTATGCATTTTACATTATCCTCTGAATAATCCTAGGATGTAGACATTATTAGTATTTCCATTTTATAGATAGGAAACTGAGACACAGAAAAGTAAAGTAACCTGATTGAAGATCAAACAATAAGTGGCAAAGGGCACCTGGGTGGCTTAGTCAGTTAAGCATCCAACTTTGGCTCAGGTCATGATCTCACGGTTCATGAGTTGGAGTCCCACATCGGGCTCTTTGCTGACAGCTCAGAGCCTGGAGCCTGCTTCGTATTCTGTGTCTCCCTCTCTCTCTGCCCCTCCCCCCCTCACACTCTTGTCTCTTTCTCTCTCTCAAAACTAAACATTAAAACAGTTTAAAAACATTTTTTAAATGTTTATTTTTGATACAGAGAGACACAGAACGCAAGTAGAGGAGGGGCAGAGAGAGAGAGACACACACACACACACACACAGAATCTGAAGCAGGCTCCAGGCTTTGAGCTGTCAGCACAGAGCCCGACGTGGGGCTCAAACCCACAAACTGCAAGATCATGACCTGAGCTGAAGTGGGACACTCAGCCAACTGAGCCACCCAGGCACCCCTAAAAAAAAGAAAAAGTGGTAGACCCAGGATTTGAACCCAGGTGCCAAGATCTACCACACAGTGCTGTTTCCCTTTTCATTTATGTTTCCACTGCCCAGAAAGTATCTGGTATGTGGCCATTCACCAAATATTTATTGAATGAATAAATCTCAGCTTGCTCTGATGGAAAGTGAATTGCATGAGAAATCTGGAAAGTTTATAGAACTGGCTTTGCCACTATTAAGGAATGTGTCCTCTCTGTATCTCTCCTTCATCTGCTGAACTAGAGGTACTGAACTAAATTTCCTTTAACTCTACAATCTACTACTACTCTGCCATCAATTTACCTCTTTTATTCATCCAAATGAATTATGTAAAAAAATTTTGTTTGAGGGGGTGCAAAAAGGTGATTTTATTAAAGCATGGGGACAGAACCCGCGGGCAAAAAGAGCTGCCATGATTAATGCAAATAAAGTCCTTAACATGTCAGAATCTTTTTTTGGTTTGTTTTATGTACAAGTGAAAAAGAGAACTTCTAAAGAAAAAAAAAAACCCAAAAAAACTTTTAACAGAATCTCAATACCACTGAAGACATTAAATGTATACAAAATACACTTTTTCTTTTTTAATTTTTTTTAATGTTTTATTTATTTCTAGGAGAGAGAGAGAGAGACAGCGTGAGCAGGGGAGGGTCAGAGAGGGAGGGAGTCACAGACTGAAACAGGCTCCAGGCTCTGAGCTGGTAGTCAGCACAGAGCCTGATGCGGGGCTCAAACCCACGAACCGCGAGATCATGACCTAAGCGAAAGTCAGATGCTTAACCGACCAAGCCACCCAGGCGCCCCTTTGATAGAATTTTTAGAATCTACTTTTAGATTTTTAGAATTTATTCCATTTTTAATACTTTAANACCACGAGATCATGACCCAAGCGAAAGTCGGACGCTTAACCGACTAAGCCACCCAGGCGCCCCCAAAATACACTTTTAAAAAGTCACAGAATGAGGGGTGCCTGGGTGGCTCAGTTGCCTGAGTCTCCGACTTGGGCTCAAGTCATGAATTTGCAGTTCGTGGGTTTGAGCCCTGTGTCGGGCTCTGTGCTGACAGCTCAGAGCCTGGAGCTTCCTTCAGATTCTGTGTCTCCTTTTCTCTCTATTCCTCTCCTGATCGCATTCTGTCTCTCTGTCTCTCTCTCAAAAATAAAGAATAAAAAAAAATTTTTTTTCCTTAAAAAAAAGTCACAGAATGAACTATGAACTATTCAACATGGAGGCAGAGATCAGTAAGCTGGAACTGGTGTTCCAGAAAGCTGGCTCTGACCTGGATTACTTTCAATACAGGCTGGAATATGAAATCAAGACTAACCCTGATACAGCAGTCAATAAAAATCCAGTTACACTCTTAAAGGGACTGTCAGCAATAAAGTCTCAATATCAAACTTTGTATGGATGCTTTAAATCAACTGCTGTAGAGCAGAAAGAGACTAAGAACTGCATTTGTGCTACTGTAGATAAGACTATGACCATGATACAAGAACTACAAAAGCAAACAGACGTGGAGCTGTCACCACTGACTAAAGAGAAAACTGTGGCAGAGCAATTAAAATCTTTCATATCACACTTCTGAAGAAGTGGACCTAGAAAAGGGAATTCTCATGGATAGGAGATCTACTTCAGACATATTTAAGACAATGTCTTGGGGCGCCTGGGTGGCTCAGTCAGCTAGCGTCCAACTTCGGCTCAGTTCATGATCTCGCAGTTTGTGGGTTCGAGCCCCACATCGGGTTCTGTGCTGGCAGCTGGGAGCCTGGAGCCTATTTCAGATTCTGTGTCTCCCTCTCTCTCTGCCCCTCCTCTGCTCATGCGCTGTCTCTGTCTCAAAAATAAATAAACTATAAAAAAAATAAAAAAGAAAAAGAAAGAAGAGGTCTTGTTAGCACCTGATGACTTGAAGCGGGGGATAGAGAAGGACATTTGGCTTGGGTGACTGGATGTGATGCCTTCCATGAGGGAAGGTCCCATAACAAGGGCAGATGTTATATGAATAAAGTTCAGCCAAAAAGATAGAATGGGAATAAAGGGATTTAAAAATATATAGGCACACACAGTCTTATAATTTGAGGCAAGGAAGTCATGTAACACTATTTTGCATTTGCTTTTGTGTAATTGGGATAAAACGGGTGTCCTGGCCTGTCATAAAAGGATATTTATGTACTATTGTTCAGTCAGATATGAATAAGCATGCCTTGGCAATTAAAGGATAGAAAATAAATAAATAAAAAGTCACAGACTAAGAAAAGGCAGACTACTGGAACAGTAATATTCGATAATACTAAATGAACGAATGAGGTTTCCCTCATGGTTAGCTCTTCTTTAAGATAGTTTTGTATTAACCTAGGGATAGCTTGATGAGTTCATGGGCCTTAAATACACATTATTTCTCAAGCTAATACAGAAAGTAGAATTTTCTTATTAATAAAAGATAGAAATAAAACGTTTCATATCAATAATCCATACTTACCCTTACAAATGAAGTAAAGCCATTCATTTAAGGCACGAATTATTAACACCTTTTTTTTTTTTTTTTTAAATCATAGACCTTGTTGAGAATTGGATGAAGGCAACAAATCCTCCCTTCAAAAGTGCAAAATCAAGCAAAACTTTGCATATTATTTTAGGGTCTTCACAGACTCATGAAAATCTACAGTTCATAGTCTGATGATAAAATGTAATAGACAATCACTGAGATACATACAAATGAGAAACCTTGTGATAATGAGTTACTCAAAGAATAAAAAGGGTAAAATATTCATAGGAGTTGTTTAAAAAGCTTACAGTATTAGTTTCTTGAAATGCATCTACATTTAATTTATCTTGCAATTGAAGCACATCTTTCATTAACTGCAAATTCTTTTTTTTTCAATTTTTTTAATGTTTTATTTATTTCTGTGAGAGAGACAGACAGAGAGACAGACAGCGTGAGCAGGGGAGGGTCAGAGAGAGAGGGAGACACAGAATCTGAAGTAGGCTCCAGGTTCCGAGCTGGCTGTCAGCACAGAGCCTGATGCGGGGCTCGAACCCACGAACCGCGAGATCATGACCTGAGCTGAAGTCGGCCACTTAACCGAATGAGCCACCCAGGCGCCCCTCATTAACTGCAAATTCTTAGTATCTCTTACAGCATGCTTCAATCCAAGGTTTTTGTTTTTGTTTTTTTTAATGTTTATTTTTGACAGAGAGAGTGTGCGTGCACTCAAGAGAGAGCAGGGAAGTGGCAGAGAGAGAAGGAGACACAGAATCCGAAGCAGGCTTCAGGCTCTGAGCTGTTAGCACAGAGCCCAATGTGGGGCTTTAACCCATGAACCACAAGACCATGACTTGAGCCAAAGTTGGACACATAATCACCTGATCCACCCAAATGCCCCCAATGCCATATAACATTTAAGTGGGGTCAGAGAGCCAGTTGAGTTGCCTCTTTCTTTTCTCCATCAACATTAGTCCAAGAGGAACAAGTCAGAGGACAAATGCGGCACAGTATTACTAGCCATCTGAAGGCTCTGCAGCCAAGTCCAGGGATTATTGCAGGCTAGCCCCCAACTGTGAACCAAGATGAACCAACCCTTCCTCTGAACCCATTTCCTTTCCTTTAGTACCTCCTGCAGACTTAGCTGTCCAGCTTTCTTCAGCACAGAATGGCAATCTACCACTGGAGAAAGAGCACTGACCTAGGATATAGGATGTCTGCATTCTGCTGGAATTTCTGCAACTGACTTGATATAGTGCCTTTTCAAAGGGTTAATAGTCTTACTCTTCCAGGGTTAAATAACTGTGAACATCAAACTCTAACTCTTCCTTCCTCTCTGGCTTTAAAGTTTTGATCCTACCACAAATTTATACTAAAGAATTGATAACTTAATATACTATCTACAGCATTTTAAAAAGAAGTCAAGATAGGGGCACCTGGGTGGCTTAGTCGGTTAAGCGTCCGACTTTTGCTTAGGTCATGATCTCGCCGTTCGTGGGTTCGAGCCCCGCGTCGGGCTCTGTGCTGACTGCCAGCTCAGAGCCTGGAGCCTGTTTCAGTCTGTGACTCCCTCTCTCTCTGACCCTCCCCTGCTCACGCTGTCTCTCTCTCTCTCCTAGAAATAAATAAAAAATAAAACATTTTAAATAAAAAAAAAAAAAAGAAGTCAAGATAGAGGACAACATTTAATATGAAAGAATGACTTTAATGATGAACTGGTTACGGTTTTTTACTTCCTCAAACTGCACTATTAAACAGCCCTTTTTTTCTTTCTCTTTTTGAGAGAGACAGACAGCACATAAGCTGGGGAGGGATAGAGAGAGGGAGGGAGACACAATCTGAAGCAAGCTTTAGGTTCTAAGCTGTCAACACAGAGCCCAATGTGGGACTCGAACCCACAAATTGTGAGATCACGACCTGAGCCAGAGTTGGATGCTCAATGGATCAGCCATCTAGGTGCCCCCAAGCTCTTTTTAAATTTATTTGAAAGAGAAAGAGAGAGAGAGAGAGAGAGAGATAGAGAATGAATCCCAAGCTGGCTCCATGTTGTCAGCACAGAGCCTGATGCAGGGCTCAATCTCATGAGCTGTGAGATAATGATCAGAGCCAAGATCAAGAGTCTAGACACTTAACCAACTGAGCAACCCGGGAGTCTTTTTTTTTTTTTTTTTTTTTTAAGATTTTCAAGTAATCTCTGCACCCAAAGTGGGGCCTGCTCCAGTGCTTCACTGACTGAGCCAGCCAGGTGCCCCTTAACAGCTCTTATTTGTCTAATACCAAGTATGCTGCTTCTACCTCCAACATGGTACTGGTATTTTTACACTTGAAACATTTTCTGTGAGGTGGTAGTTAGCTTTTGGATAAGTCTTTTCTTAAATAAACAATATTTTCAAAAGTAGATCCTTTTTATTTTTTATTATTTTTGAAAAACCATTTAATTTATTTTTTAAGTAATCTCTCCACCCAACATGGGGCTCAAACTCCCAACCCGAGATAAAGAGTCACATGCCCTATCCACTGAGCCGGCCAAACACCCCTAGATCCTTTTTATTAAAAAAAAAGAATTATTACACTGATTTATGTAAATCTGATCAACACAGATTACATTTACACGCTGTTGTACAGGATCAAGAGTGGAAGAAGACAAATTCGAAAGCTCACCTGCGAAGCTGTTAGTGTTTCCAGTTTATGAAGTCTCTGAAGGACGTTCTGCATATCTTCCTGCAGACGCATCAGGACAAGAGCGATCTGTTCATTGAGGCTGCCTCTTGACCCTCTGTCCGAGCCCCAGCGTTCCCCATCACCTCCACTTCCTACTTGCCGACCCTTGGATCCTTCACTCAAGTGCTGCATTCTATGCCCTATTTTAAGAGAGGAAAATCAGTTTTAAATAATTCTTATGAAAGTAGAAACAGTGTGTGTTATTCACTTTCCTGTGTTATTTCTTTGAGATCTAAATCTCCAAAGTGGACAGGAAGCAATCGGGAAGTACACAAAATACCGGGAGCAAAAAAGTAACGATAGAAGCTTCTATTTATATTGAGATACTCAAAGATTCTCTTTGCTAAGGTTTTACAATGTAGTTACAACACTAGTATATGACAAAATGCATATAATTCACACAAAATTTACATCTTTGGGGTGCATTCTCAAAAATTCTTTACTAATAAGGTAAGAAGATTGAAGAAATTCAAAGACTAATTTTTTTTAATGTTTATTTTTGAGAGTGAGAGTGCACGCAAGAGAGAGTACAGATACATGTGAGTGGTGGAGGGGCAGCGCGAGAGGGAGAGAGAGAATCCAAAGCAGGCTCCAAGCTGCTAGTGTAAGGCCCAATGTGGGGACTGACCCATGAACAGTAAGATTAAACTTGAGCCAAAGTAGGAAACTCCACCAACTAAGCCACTCAGACACCCCCAAAGACTGCTTCTTTAGAGTTTTTAAAGGCACACTATATAGATATATTTTCCTTTTTGGTCATTTTTTATTTCATCACATTATAAATCTCCCAAAAGGTTTTTTATTGTTTTTCTTTTTAAGTTTATTTATTTTGAGAGAGACAGAGACAGCACGAGTTGGGGAGAGTCAGAAAGAGGGGGAGAGAGAATCCCAAGAAGGCTCACAGAACCTGATGCGGGGCTTGAACTCATGAAACCTTGAGACCATGGTCTGAGCTGAAACCAAGAGTTGGAAGCTTAGCCATCTGAGATACCCAGTTGGTTAAAACCAACTAGTAAAGGGAAGCTAACAGTAAATAAGTAAATAATTCAGATTCTTTGCAAATGGTGATTAAGTGCTCTGAAGAAAAAAAGAATGAGCAATTAAAGTGACTGGAGATGGGGATTACCATAACATGGGAATAGTCTGATTAATCCTGTTTTTGTGAAGGCTCAAAAAAAAATTTTTTTTTAATGTTTGTTTATTTTTGAGGGAGGGAGAGAGAGAAAACACACCAGCAGGGGAGGGACAGAGAATCTGAAGTGGGTTCTGGGCTGACAGCAGACAGCTGGATGTGGGGCTCAAACTCATGAACAGCGAGTGAGATCATGATGTGAGCCAGTCAGATGCTTAACCAACTGAGTCACTCAGGCACCCTAAACCCAAAAGGTTTTTAAATGTATTTCTCTTTTTATAAATTCTATTACACTTACCACTGCTAATATTTTGTTATATATCCATTATTTTTTCTATGCATATATTTACAGAATTGGCATTACCCCAACACATAATCTTGTGTTCCTCTTTTAAAAAAATTATAAACATTTATCTGCATTTTTACATTTTACTCCAAAAACACTGAAATGGTTACATAAATTCCCCAGTATGACCATGAAAGAATTTACCCAATTGTTCTCCACTTTTGGATAATTCCAAATCTTTGCAATTACAAATAATGCTGCAGTGGGGCACCTGTGTGGCTCAGTTGGTTGAGCATCTTGTTCTTGACCTCCGCTCAGGTCATGGTCTCACAGTTCATGGGATGAAGCACCACGTCAGGTTCTGTGTTAGGAGTGCAGAGCCTGCTTGGGATTCTTTCTTCTCTGTCTTGGCCCCTCTCCTGCTTGAGCTCTCTCAAAATAATAAATAAACATTAAAAAAAATCCAGGGGCACCTGGGTGGCTCAGTCAGTTAAGCACCCAATTTCAGCTCAGGTCATGATTTTGCGGTTCATGAGTCTGAGCCCCACATCTGGCTCTGTGCTGACAGCTCAGAGCCTGAAGCCTGTTTCAGTTCTGTATCTCCTTTCTCTCTGCTCCTCCCCCACTTGCACTCTGTCTCTCAAAAATAAACATTAAAAAAAAAACAAAACCCTCCACAACTAAAAAACAAAGAACACTGCAATGAATGTCTTTGTACATAAATTCTTGCCCAAGTGTCTACTGATCTCCTTAGGAAATACAGAATCAAAAAAGAAGAATTACTGGGTCAAAGGATGACAACTTTGTAGAAGTTCTCAATGAGTGTTAACTAAGGTATTTTTCAGAAAGCCTACCATAGTTTTATATTGCAGCATATAGAAAGCACTACCATGAAGAAATGGAGTATTATGACTGCTTATATGTTTGCTAACACAATAGGTAAGTTTTGTTTTATTTTGTTTTAAATAATAAACAGGAATCTGTTTACCTCATTGCCCTTTGGCATTCTGGAGCCCTCCCGCAGCAAAAGGGTTCCCAAAGCTGAGATTGCATCAGGCCGTGTTTGTTCTTATAAGAGAAATGGAATTGGAGCTGTTTGCCAAGTTAAATTTCAAAGAGTACACTAAGGTGCTGTGCTTGATGCCAATTTCTTTTTTTTTTTTTTTTTGTTAGCATTTATTTATTTATCGTGTGAGAGAGAGAGAGCACGCACACAAAAGGGGCAGAGACAGAACCCCATGCAGGCTCCATCCCGTCAGTGCAGAGCCCAATGCGGGGCTTGATCTCATGAACCCTGACATCATGACCTGAGCTGAAATCAAGAGTCAGACGCTCAACTGAGTGATCCACCCAGGCCCTCCTGAAGCCATTTTCAAGAAGACTTCTACTCTTACATTGAAAGGAAGTAAATTTTGAAGTGGTTCTTCAAGAAAGGACCACTTCAGCTATCGGTATGGAATTTACAAGGGAAATAAAAAAGTAGGAAGTCTGGCCTGAGGCTTAGTTTTTTTTTTCTTCATCCTTAAGAGATTGAGATATTCTGTGATGGCCTGTCAGTGGGTACTGATGACGCTAGAGAATTATTCTCCTCTCTGTTCACTTTACTATATCCTATGTCACAGTCAGCTTTCAAACAAGCCTTCACAACGACAGAACTAATCACAACGACAGAAGTAATCAGACCATTCCCATGTTACGGTAATCCCCACCTCCAGTCACTATCTAATTACTCATTTTTTTTTCTTCAGAGCACTTATCACCATTTGCAAAGAATCTCCATTATTTACTTAATTACTGTCAGCTCCCTTTACTAGAACATGAGCTCCGTGGAAAGAGGAACTTTGTCCTGTTCTCTACAGCATCCCCAGGACCCAGAACAGGGCCCGACAAAGAAAAGCTCAATAATACGTGTTTAATGCTGAGGCAGATTTAGGTGAAGCTCACGAAGCTTCACTTCAGGGGCTGCCACTTGTATGGGCCTCTGTGACTGCTGGGAGTTGTAGTGTTTTATAGGCGGGGTGAAGTCAGGGTTGTCAATAGGAAGGCTTTCATACATACAATTTTGGTAAATTGCCTAAAGAAAGGCATCTGAATTCAAGACTCTAGTAAAATGTGATCTCTCTCTTCTTCATTAAATATACACAATTTGGTATATGTTCAAATGGCTATTTTTAAAAGTATAGTTTTCTTAATAACATTAATCCTCTCTTTTCATCCCCGTCTTCATTTGTTTTATTTTATGTAGATTTTTTTCAATCAGAAGCACAGCTAATCCTTTAACTTTTCCCTTTCTTAAGTGGATTTTCCCTTTTTTAAGTGTACAATATGATTCGATACTTGTATATACTGCAAAATGATCACTGCAATAACTCCAGTTAACATCTGTCATCATATAGTTATAGATTTTTCCCCCTTGATGATAATTTCTAAGACTTTTCTATCTTAGCAACTTTTTCTTTTTTTTCTTTTATTTTTTATTTAAAAAAAATTTTTTTTAATGTTTTATTTATTTCTAGGAGAGAGAGACAGCGCGAGCAGGGGAGGGTCAGAGAGAGAGGGAGACACAGAATCTGAAGCAGGCTCCAGGCTCTGAGCTAGCAGTCAGCACAGAGCCCGACGCGGGGCTCGAGCCCACGAACCACGAGATCATGACCTAAGCGAAAGTCGGACACTCAACCGACTAAGCCACCCAGGCGCCCCTAAAAATTGTTTTTTAATGTTTTTTTAATTTCTGAAGGAGAGAGAGAGAGAACATGAGCAGGGGAGGGTCAGAAAGAGAGGGAGACACAGAATCTGAAGCAGGCTCCAGGCTCTGAGTTGGCTGTCAGCACAGAGCCCGACCCGGGGCTCGAACCCACGAACGCTGAGGTCATGACCTGAGCTGAAGTCGGATGCTTAACCAACTGAGCTACCCAGGCACCCCTTTTTTTCTTTTAGAAAGATAGAGTGCAAGCCGGGGAGGGGGCAGAGGGACAGAGAGAGAGGAAGAATCCCAAGAAGGCTCCATGCTCAGCCCTGGAGCCCACCGTGGGGGCCTGATCCCATAATCCTGGAACCATGACCTGAGCCAAAATCAAGAGTCAGATGTTCAAATGACTGCACTACCCAGGCGCCCCAAACTGAGCAACTTTCAAATATGCAATACAGGTATGATTTACTACAGACACCATGCTGTATATTATATCCCCATGACTTACTTATTTAATAACTGAAAGTTTTTATCTTTTGATCCCTGTGACCTGTTTTGCATCCCCTTCACCCTGGCCTCTGGCATTCATCAACCTATCTATTCTCTGTATCTATAAGCTTGGTCTTTTGTTTTTGTTTTTTTTAGATTCCACATATAAGAAAGATCATATGGTATTTGTCTTTCTATTAATTCTCTTTTCTGACAGTCCCTATTCATTCCTAACTATAAACAATTATAAATTAATATATATTTACTTTGCTTCCCTCCTCAACTCTATTCTGTTACCTGATCACATTATTCTTCTTCTTAATGTTTACCTTTTTTTAATTTTTAAAAAATATTTATTTATTTTGAGAGATAGAGTGGGGCAGGGGCAGAGACAGAGGGAGAGAAAGAATCCCAAGCAGGCCCCACACTGGCCGTGCTGAGCCTGACCTAGGGCTCGACCCCTCAAACCATGAGATATGAGCTGAGCTGAAATCATGAATCAGACGCTTAAGCGACTACGCCACTCCTTAATGTTTACCTCTGTATTGTTAAATGTTCTTTTATCTCTATTACTTGATTTGTCAGTTTTAAACAATATCTTTTGACTTAAGTAGGGAAACATGCTAAAGACACAATTCAAATTTCTACCTATCGTAGGAAACAAAAGCAGAAGGGCATCTGGAGAACCAGTAAGTGACAGTTCAAGAAGGGTGACAGAACATGAATTTGGCTACTTCAAAAAACGGCATAAAAGATATAGAAATAGGAATGTTTTCCCCTGTACCTTCAGAGATCACACTACTATGCCTGGTAGGGTCTAAGGAGAGAACTCGGTGTAAAGAAAAGTGGTCAGACGTTATAAAAGGATAACTTTTAACATTTCCTTGGTAGACTGGGAGTTCTAATGTCTCTCCTTACCTAAAGTTTTCCCATTTTGCTAATTAGTTTGTAAAGAGTCAGTGAGAATGAAAAAGAATACACACCTCTCCCTCTTCTGACATTAGAGAATTCCTCATTTTCTCCACTCCGTCTCTCACGGTGCGGTGCTCCACTGTTACTTCGGCCATCTTCTCCTCCATGCTTTACTTCACCTTTTCCTTCAACTGCCACCACCTGCATGTCTCCAAAGTTGCCATGTCCCAGAGATCCTTGAACATCTTCAGGGAAACCAGGACCTTCCAAGGGCTGATTGGAATCACCACTCAAGTAATATCGAAATGGTCCGCCATTTGATGTAAAACTGTCTAAGGACTACAAATTTAAAACAACACTTAGTTAAAAGCTACAAGTTTTTGTGACAATAAAAGAATTACTGTTTTTATAAAACTTTTTTCATGTCATCTTTCTAAAAAATTTACTCATCTTCTGCCTCCTATATGTAGGGAAGAAATAGGATAAGAATGATTCATCCATGAGTAAAGTATTGAGAAGTTCTGGCAGTGAATTGTTTTCATGAGCCAGTCATTCACCCAAGAGACTTATAAAAATGTCTACTCTTATTCTAGTTACTATGCTCAACTCTAAAGATAATATGAAGAAAGAGATAAAAATCTTTGCCTGCAAGAAGGTTCTAATCTTGGTAAGGGAGTGAGAGAAGTAAGATCATTACAGCATAGTTTGGTTAAGTATTATGAAAAAGATGGACAAAGGGTACCCGCTATAGGAACTCATGGGAGGGATGCTTAACTCATACTGGGGCGGGGTGGAGGCTTCCTGGAAGAAATGATATGAACTAAGACTTCATAGAATGAGTATAAGCCAAGTCAAAGGTGTAGTAACGTTAGCCTGTACCAATAAAGTAGTAGTGGGACAGAGGGTGCTTTGAGAACTTGTGAGATTAGAGAATCAACAGGAGTTAAAACCTAATGTGGGAAGTAAGGGAAAGGAAAAGACCAGATGGTTTTGTGATACGCACCAAGATGAGAAATACAGAGTACAAGGGGGTTTCAGGGGAACAGAAACAATGTTATACTTATAGATAAATATAAATTGAGATTCCTAGGCAAGATGTTTAATGGGTCAGTTAGAATTCAGAAGAGAGATATATGTTGGAGATAACACTTTGAGAAACATCAGCCATGTGAGTGATGGTTGAAACCAAGGGAGTAGTCATATTCCTGAAGAATACCAAATTTAAGGAGTCAAAGAGGAAGGAAAAATTGAAATCAAGTTACTATGCTGAAGGGCATAACATATAAGAATGGTATATGGGGCACCTAGGTGGCTCAGTCAGTTAAGCAGCCAACATTTGGTTTTGGCTCAGGTCATGATCTTGAACATTTTGTGAGCTCAAGTCCCACACCGGGCTCCGCACTGACAGTGGGAGGGCTGCTTGGGATACTCTCTCCCCCCACCTCTCTGCCTCTTCCCTGCTCGCTGTCTCTCTCGAAATGAATAAAATTAAAAAAAAAAAAGAATAGTTTACACGGCAAATATTTCTAAGTTGTACATAGTTTATTGGAAATTTAATAAAACAACTTTAGTTATCATTAAAAGAATCTTAGAAATCTAGTCCACCTAAAAAATTCCAAGTACACCAGTCTGTACTGGTCTACTGGTTTGCATGATGTCACAAGTATATGTATATAGAAAACATATTTCCTATCTCTGAATCTCTTTTCAGTCTCAGAACAGTACTTCCAATCCATTATCTATTCCACTAAATGGTTTATTCTAGAACCATTTTCCATTTTTAGCTTCTACAAAGCAGTAACTGCTAATAATTCAATCTTTCAAAATTTCAACCTTTTACTTTTAGAAAGGATCTATAAGCTACACAATTTATTTAAACTGGACTGAAAACAAAAAATAAAATAAAAAAGTTGATTTTCTTTTAAACAATAATTTGTTAAGTGAGATGAGGCCCTTGAAAGCACGAGGTCTTCTAATATGTTCAAAATTAAGTAAAACCAATGAGATGCAATGGTTCCCCACCATAAACCCTATGGAAAGGACAGAAACCAAGGCAATATAAATAAAAGATAAAAACAGTATTATATGCAAAAACCACCACACCCTCACACCAAGCAGAATGGCTAGTATCAAAATGACAAGAAATAACAAGTATTGGTAAGGATATGAAATAAGAACACTTGTGCACTGTTGGTAGCAATGTAAAATGGTGTAGCCACTCTGGAAAACAGGAGGTTCTTCATGTAATTAAAAATAGAAATACCATACACTCCAGTAATTCCACTACTGGGTATGTACCCAAAGAAAATGAACACACTAACTTGAAAAGATACACGCACGTCTATGTTCATTGCAGCATTATTTACAATAGCTAAGATGCAGAAGCAGCCTAAGTGTCTACTGTAGACGAATGGAAAAGAAAATATGGTATATATATACATATATATATACATGAGACATCAACTTGACCATAAAAAAGAATAAAATCTGGCCATTCTTGACAACATAGATGGGCCCAGAGGGTATTAGGCTAAGTGAAAGAAGTCAAAGACAAATACCGTATTATTTCACTCACATGTGGAATCTAAAAAAAAAACAACAAACAAAACCTAAACAAACTCTTAAATACAGAAAATAAATGTGATTGCCAATGCAGATGTAGATTGGGGGGGGGGATGGGTGAAATAGATAAAGAGGATTAAGAGATACAAACTTCCATTCAAAAAATAAGTGGAACTTTCTACAAAGGTGGAAAGTAGGGCATAAGAAATATAGTCACTAATATTGCAATAGCATTGTATGGTGACTACACTTAAAATGGTGAGTACTGAGTAATGTACAGAATCACTGAGTCAACATGTGGTATGCCTAAAACTAATATATCATATGTCAATTATACTTCAAAACTTAAAAAAGAAGTCAGTCAGTGTGAAGAACAGATTTGAAAACTATTCTATCTTTTTGGATGTCAATCTTTCAAACACAGGGACTAGCATAAAGTTTACCTTCTGCCTCCCCATCCCACCTCCCTCAGGATATTTACAAATATAGATATAGTCCAAGTTATAATATTGAAATATTTTTAATATTCATTTTTTAAATTCACAAAAATAATTTTAAATACAAATGTTGAAATGTTTTTTAAAAATTTAGAAGTATCACTTCAAAGTAATGAATGTTGTATGTATACCTACTATTAACAGAAATTTTGCACTGAATTCTGACATATCACTTTGAAAATTTACCAATTAAAAAGTGTCATTGTTACCTCTTCTTGTCCAAACTGCTCCATGGAATCACAGTAAACTTCACTGTCTGAATCACTTGTCAAATGCTGAATTCCTGAGACATCTTCAACATGGTCATCATTTATCTCTGAAAATGAACAAGTGTGTCCAGGTGGAATTATTATTCTCTAATTCAAGAAACATGCATTTATTCCTGTCTCAAAATTTATCAGGTCTATATTATTTTCACACTATAGACAAATGTGATTTATCAAGCCACACTTTTTTTCTTGTAACTTTCCAAAACTTCAAATGTAGTTGATAATTTTTATTTGAAAAGATTATATTGTATCAAGTAATCATACAAAGACACTGTCCAGATCAAACCTTACAAAACATAACCTTGTAAGGGAAAACTGACTACCAACTAGGAGCCCTAAATTGGTATGCAAGTATGCGAGTTCAGCTGTTACGTTAAGTAATTATATTTCTTAGTTTCTTTCTTTCTTTTTCCTTCCTTCCTTCCTTCCTTCCTTCCTTCCTTCCTTCCTTCCTTCCTTCCTNTTCCTTCCTTCCTTCCTTCCTTCCTTCCTTCCTCTCTCTGTCTCTCTCTCTCTCTCCTTCCTTCCTTCCTTCCTTCCTTCCTTCCTTCCTTCCTTCCTTCCTTCCTTCCTTCCTTCCTTCCCTCCCTTCTTTCTTCCTTCCTTCGACAGAGTAAGAGAGAGCAAGCTGGGGAGGGTGAGAGAGAGCGGGAGAGAGGACTCCAAGCAGGTTCTTCACTGTCCTTGCAGAGCCTGACGTGCAGTTCAAACTTATAAACTGTGAGATCATGACTTGAGCTGAAACCAAGAGTCAGACACTTAACTGACTGAGCCTCCCAGGAGCCCCTCAAAATTTTATTTTAAAGAACCACACAAAAACACAATTAAAAGTGTCTCAAAATATAAAAGTCCTGCCCTTAATTCATTATCTTTCAAAGTTATACACCCTTATAATATTAATAAACCCTAAGATATTATTGAATAAGAAGTCTGTAGATTCCAAATTGCTACTAAACATCCTAAAACAATGAAAAGAACGTTGCATTCATAGGAAAGAGGTTGGACAGATAATTATCCTGGGACAATACCTTGGTGAATGCAGACAGCAGTTTTTCCAGTTTGCTCCAAGTTTTCATCTATAGCCTTTACTTCTTCATCACCTTTGCCTCTCAAGGAAGAGGTGGCATGAATATCATTTTGTATATCCTGAGCAGGGCTGTCTTTATCATAGCCATTAGTAACAATGATTTCCAAATTGTTACGGTCTGCAGATTTCTTCGTTTTCTCATCTTCTATAAAAAAGTAGGGAGATTCTTAAAAGTTCACAAGTCAACTTCTGTATATATATTCTAATATCAAGTAATCATTTCCCTAACCTACCTTAATCACTTTGGTTTCCTACTTGGATCAGAGAGATGGGGTACTCCTTGAAAAGGGGTTTATTATATGCTGAAAGCTCAATCAGAACTACTTCAGTTCCCTGTGAATCTTTTAAAACCTGTTTTATTTTTAAGTAGGCTCTACGTCCAATGTGGGGCTCAAACTCAAGACCCCAAGATCAAAAGTCACATGCCCTACTGACTGCGCCAGCTAGGCATGCCTAGAATCCCCTTTAAAAGACAACCTCTCAAGGTCTTTACACTCTCTCTCAAGCAAAGGCAAATGGTCTGATGAGACCCAGCCGTACAAAGGGGTCCACACAGTCAATGAAAAGATCCTTCAAAGACGGTATTATCTGTCATACATTATTGGAAAATAAAGGCACAAGTAAGCAGTGCAGTTTGTTTTTAGGGTCTGACTGCCTCCCCTTCCTAAAACAGTCTTCCCAGGAATCACTGGTACTCTTACCAACAATGCCCCTCTGCCCACCACCACCACAATGCAGTATCCTATGACTCCAATGTTCTTAATTCATCAAAACTTCCTATATCCAATTCTCTGGATTCTATCTATTCTTGACAAGGTATTGAGAGTTTAAACATGTCTCCTCTTCTTGGTAAACACATATGCATATTTATATTGGAAACAATATTTAAAATGAATATGTTTCTTTTTTTTGTTTAAGTAAACTATGCCAAACATGGGGCTCCAACTCACAACCCCAAGATCAACAGCTGCATGCTCTACTGACTGAGCCAGCCCAGCACTCCAAAAATGAATACATTCCTTTTTAAAAAATTTTTTAATGTTTTATTTTATTTTTGAGAGAGAGAGAGAATGAACAGGGGAGAGGCAGACAGAATCCAAAAGAGGATTCAGGCTCTGAGCTATCAGCATAGAGCCCAATGTGGGGCTCAAACCCATGAACGGTGAGATCATGACCTAAGCTGAAGTTGGACGCTTAACTGACTGAGCCACCCAGCCGCCTCATGAATAGATTTCTAATGCAGCATTTCAGGCATTATATTTAGAGAAGTAACCTTCTTGTTAGTGTTCAATTCCATCTATGCATAAGCCTGACTGTCCCTGTATTTTTGGTCCACGGAAATTCTGGTGATAAGGTCAATAGCCCACATCCCAGAATACACACTAGTCTCATACAACACCAAATCAGTCCCACTGTCTCCATATTCATTTATCTATTTTTTAAAGATTTTATTCTTAAATAACTTTTACATCCAACGTGGGGCTAAAACTCACAACCCTAACATCAAGAGTCACGTGCTCTACTGACTGAAACAGTTAGGTGCCCCTTCTTTTATCTAATTAAATGTAAAATTATTAGCTCATCATCCAAAGATTACCATTAGCACTTTGTTCTGCTCCTTTCACTTCTTCCTGGGCCTCTTCTTCCTCAGACTCAGCTCCACTATCACTGCTTTCGGCTTTACCATTAACATTTTTGGCATTTGGAGTAGAAGTTAGAACATTACCAAGATCTAAAATATGAAATGATCACTTAATCTCTAGTACTACAACACACAATAATGCTGTAATTTACATATAATACTGTCACTTACAATAACTAATAAAATAATTTTGAAGTAAAAGTTAGAATTATGACATATATCTATGAGTATTCTTTTCTTTAATTGTAACTATACATACATTACATAAAGAAACCCCTTCCGTTTACAACAAAACTGATAAAAGTGTCTTCAAACCTTCCTAAACAAGGCAGAGAATAAGTTATTTTTACGGTAATATCAATCAAAATAGAAAAGTTAGAAATGAATGATCCCCTTTATACACAGTAAATGAAGAGACAGTTGCTATATACTAGCATGCTGAAAACATAAACAACAATATCATGAATATCATCAATAAAACTACACTTAAAATTGTTTTATCCTTTTCTTACCTTTAAGGCTTTAGGTACATTACCTATATTATTCTGTCTTTATATTTATTTTTATTTTAAGGCATCTGTTAATGTGATCAATCATTTAAAAAGGCACATTATCCTAATGGCCAGTCATATCTTGAGAGGAAATCCAGAACTTTTCAAATGTTAATATGCATAGGAATCACCAGAGATCTAGTTAAAATGCAGATTCTGAATCAGGAAGCCTGAGGTGCTCTAAGATTCTGCATTACCATAAGGCTCCCACATGATGCCAATGCTTTTGGTTACTGGACCTCATTTTGAGATAGAGGGAATTACATTTCCATCACTCTCTAAGATAATAAAGGCTTTCTACGTGGCTACTGGTCAAAAACAGTGGTCTCTCTCCATAAATTTTTGCACTTCATTTTCACTTACACAAATGCCTTTTGAATGCTTCCTTGCATCCCAAACAACATATTAAATGTCAAAATCTCTATACGTTTTAAACAGGAACAAAAGAGTAAAAACTCAATTCTATCACTGCCATTATGTTTTATTCTCTTACAGAACCATGGCAGCATCACAGTTTATAAATCTCCTTGCTCTCTCCTTGACAACCAGTAAAAGAACAACAACAACAAAAAAAACAAGAAACAAAAACATCCACCACTCATGAACATCTTCAGCAAAACTAAGCAACAGGGAATTCCCCAAACCCCCACTAAGTAGCATTTCTGGGATGAGAGGTGTAGAAAGTATAGAGAATTACTCACTAGCCTTACTCAACATCCAAAAATCAGCTCATGTAATACACCATACTAACAGACTAAAGGACAGTAGCCACATGATTATGACAACAGACGCAAAGAATTTGACATGACAATAATGTTGAAGAAATTAAAAATGTAAGCGAATTTCCTTAATCTGATAAAGGGCATCTACAAAAATTTACAACTAACAGCATAATTAATGTTAAACAATTGAATTTTTTTTTTTTTGCTCCTAAAATAAGGAACAAGAAAGAATGGAGAAAAAAATAAAAAATAAAATAAAGAACAAGACAAGGATGCTTGCTTTTGCCATCTCTGTTTGATATCATACTAGAAGTTCTTGCCATGGCAATTAGGCAAGAAATATAAATAAAATGTATACAGATTGAAAAGGACGAAGTAAGCACATGACATGACATGCTCTGTATACAGGAAATCCTAAGGAATCCACACAAAAAACCCCCAAACTATTAGAAATAACAAATGGTTTGGCAAGATTGCAGGATACAAGATCAATAAACAAAATCAACTGAATTTCTACAAGCTAACAATGAACAATCCAAAAATGAAATTAGCAGCAGCAAGAAGAATAAAATGTTTAGCAGTACACTTGACAAAAGAAGTGTAAGGATTGTACACTACAAATGAAAAAACACTGTTGAAAGAAATTAAAGAACTAAATAGATGGATTGGAAGACAACATTGTTGAGATGACAAAACTTTAAATGGGCTACAACTCACAGCAATCCCCATAAGAATCCTAGATGGTCCTTTATGCAAAAACTGACAAGCTGATTCTAAAATTCATATGGAAATGCCAAGGATCTGGAACGGTTAAAACAATCTTGGAAAAGAACAAAGTTGGACAGTTCATTCTTCCTGATTTCAAAACTCACTATGTATGTATATTATGAAAAAGCCTAAGCAAAACAGATACATCTGTTCTCCTGGGCCTAACTGGCAACTCTTAACAGGATCCTTTGTTTTAAAAAAAAAAAAAAAATTCAAGATTGCAAACTATGAAACACCCATACATTTTGACCTTGACAGTTAGACTTCTAATATTATTTCTTACAGATATACTTTGACATATATTAAATGACATTTGTACAGGGTTGCTTTCAGCAGCATTTTTGAAGATCAGAAGAGGAAACTAATAACTATACTGCAATAAAAAATAAAAAACTTAATAAAAAAAAGTGGAAACAATCTAAATGTCCATTAGAATGGTACAGGTTAAATAAATTACAGTACAGGTCCACATCCCTTAGAACTCTTGGGTCCAAATATGATTTAAAATCCTGTTTTCTAATTTTGCAAAGGTCATATTACATTGTATGTCCTATATTTTATGTAATACCTTCAACAGAGTTTAAGGCAGCTCCCACTAAAAAATAATAACAAATAAAGTTTTTACAACAAAACCTATGAATAGTCACACTAAATAGAAGACTTAAAATAGCCCCTTGTCATTTCAGAGGTCTGCCCCTCAATTAGTTCAAATCAAGATAGTCTTATCAAACGAATTACAAAAGGATATTTGTTTTATCAAGCTTTTTGAATTTTCAAATTATAGCCTATGGACTACGGATCTGAGCCTTTATTATCATTATTCACTTTACCTTATCTTTATATATAATTAGTTGTTCAAACATTTGCCTCTGGCAGGAATGATACTACTAAAACAGGTCCAGATTTACTCCCCTCTGAATCCTAACAACATACTACACACAGAGGAAATATTTAACATTTTTTCTACACTAAATAGCATGAATTATAAGGAAAATTATTTGTTAAGATTTGACTCCTTTAGGCAAATCAGATATAGAGGATGCGGTTATATAAGCGTTATGCTCAGCAAGCAGTCTATCAGTCACAAGTGCAGATACAGACTGAAGGTCTTATGACATACAGGAAGGTAACTGTTCTGAAATACCTAATTTCCATCAATTAGGGAGAGATATCTTGTAATTAGGGATGTCAGGAAAATAAAACATATATAATTTTCATTTGAAATAAGTCTTACAGGCTCATTTCAGTCTGCTTTCTAAAAAAAAAATTAGAGAGCAAATGTTTACAGTTAATAACAGCAAATTTACTTATTATTCAACTCCTCCTCCTATGTTACAGATAAGCCTTTCAATTCTTTCCTGAGAACATGAAATGAGAATTCTAAAAAAAACAAAGACCAAGCTAAGTGAATTCACTGACATCTTGTGTCAGAGTGCCATACTATATTAAACTATACTATAGACATAGCCACATTAAAATTAGCTAGAAAATCATTTCAGCCGTGGCATTGTTAATATAATTCAAAAACAAATCAGAAAGTGGGATTTATCAAAATAAAATCATGAATTTTGTTATAATTTTGTATATACTCAGTGAACCACTTGTCATGTTTTAATAGCTGAAGGGTTAAAACTTAAGCGTTTATAATATTTTTGAACCTTATGCAATTTAATTGCTTAGAAGGAAAACTCATGTGACAAACTTGTAAATTTTATAAATTTGTGCAGAATTCTTTAGCATGTAAATTTCAAACAAAATTTGTACATGGATTTCATTATTCCTACCTTCTAAGTACTTAGAGATTTTCTCCAGTCGGACTGGCATGTGAAAGTAAAACAAAAATTAGACATATAAATATTAATGCATGCATAATGTGTCAGTTGCTGAACTAAAAACAAGGTAAACAGTCCAACCTGAGGTTAAATCAGAACTTTTGCCACTCTTTTTGTCTTCTACAATTTCATAAAATGGGCCTATGACATGTAGCAACTCTTCAACTTTCTCAGTCATCGGCATAGTTTCAAGAATCTGTATCAAAAGAAATACATCTTGTGAAATCACAATCTAGTAGGCTGACCTACGCTACTAAGAAATAATACTTACAATTTATTTAGTGATAGTTTTGAGTTTGGAGTTCATGTATAGATTCCCTAAAGTATCTATATTAACTACGTACATAATGTGTACATTCTCCTAGAAAAGTTTCACGAAATTAAAGAATTAAAAGTGTCTTCATTTTGAAGACTATTTTACATAAGCTTCTTTTAAAATTTTACATAATTATCTATAAACTGTGCGTTAAAAATTAAGGGCCCTAATGTTAAATAAAATAGGAAAAGCAATGCTTTAATTAAACACTAAAGTAGTGTGTCTTTTTTTATTTTATATTTTAAAAAAAGGTTTTTTTAAGTTTATTTTTGAGAGAGACCAAGACAGCATGAGTGTGGGAGGGGCAGAAAGAGAGGGAGACACAGAATCCCAGGCAGGATCTGTGCCACCAGCACAGAGATCCTGATGTGGGGCTCGAACACACGAAATGGTGAGATCATGACCTGAGCTGAAACCAAGAGTCAGATGCCTAACCGACTGAGCCACCCAGGTGCCCCTCTTTTTCTTATTTTTTGAGAGAAAGAATGTGCACCAATCTGTGCACACAAGCCGTGTAGAGGCAGGCGGAGAGGGAGAGATAGAATCTTAAATAGGTTCCATGCTGAGCACAGAGCCCAATACAGTGCTTGAACTCCCACACTTAACCAACTAAGCCGCCCTGGCACCCCTCCCTAAGGTAGTGTCTCTGAAAGGGCAGAAATGTAGACTAGGAAATGGTAATCACTTCCAGACACCTTCATACCTACAGGCCAATTTAGAATCATCAGATTTGAACAACAAGGTAAATTACCTGAAAAGGCATTCAAATAAATTATCAACTGGTAATTGATAAAAGAAAATAAATATATGAATTATTTTGCAGATACTTAAAAAAGTTTTTTTTACATTTATTTAGTTTTGAGAGACAGAGTGAGACAAAGTGCAAGCAAAGGAGGGGCAGAGAGAGGAGACACAGAATCTGAAGCAGGCTCCAGGCTCTGAGCAAACATCCAGCAAGATGCCGATGCAGGGCTTGAACTCACAAACCGCGAGATCACGACCTGAGCTGAAGTTGGACGCTTAACCGACTGAGCCACCCAGGCACCCCAATTTTGCAGGTACTGAAAAAGAGTAAGGTTAGCTTTGTGTGTGCTGATGGGGAAGATGACTGAATTTTTTTTTTATAGGCCAAAAGGTAGTTAGTGACAGTATGTTTAATATGATACCATTATTGTTTTTTTCTCTTTTTAAATAATAGGATACATACACAGATGTATCTGTATATACATATATGTGTTTTCTGAATCAATCTACAAAACAGAATTAAAAGTAATTACCACTTAAAGAGTTAAAATGGAGGGAATAGGGAAGATTTACTTCATTTTATACTTCTTTGATGTTTGATTTTTTTTCATTTACATATATTACTTTTATTATTTTTCTTCTATTACTTTTATTATTAAGTAACAAATTTATTAAGCAACGAAAATCAGTGTCATTTCTGCATATACAGCTCATATACAGTTTTAAAGTCACCACTTGGATCTTTAAAATTAGAACTGGGACGCCTGGGTGGCTCAGTCAGTTAAGCATCCGACTTCAGCTCAGGTCATGATCTCCCCGCTAGTGGCTTTGAGCCCCGCGTCGGGCTCTGTGCTGACAGCTCAGAGCCTGGAGCCTGCTTCAGATTCTGTGTCTCCCTCTCTCTATGACCCTCTCCCACTTGCAGTCTATCTCTCTCTCACAAATGAATAAATGTTAAAAAATTTTAAGTTAGTAACAACCTCAGACTTATCAGTCACTCTCCCTGCTTTATTGTTTGTTTACTGTGTATCTTTCTCAATACAACGTAAGCTCAATGAAAAAAGGGCCTTCATTTGTTTTTGATCACCCCTGTATTTCCAGTGTCTAGCACATACAAGGAATTTAATAAACAAGGTGGGGGTGTGTTGAGAGGTTATACAGAATGAACTATACTAAAAATAATGTTCTTAGTGATTATAATGTAATTTTAGAGGTCATAGTAAATATCTAATTGCTGTTCCTTTCAATGGATAGGAGTGAAAAAAATTGCTTTAACCATAAAATGTCTTTTTGTAAAAGGAAATGCTTGTTACTATAAGGCTGGGATCATTCAGGAGGGTATTTTTATAGCTCTTTATAGATAAGTGATCTGTAATACATATGCATTATAACAACAATTGTGAGAATTAGATTCAACTCAGAAATTGAAACCTCAGGTAATGTTTACTTTTTTTTGGTCATGTTTACTTTGACATGACCAAAGTCACAGCTAATAAATGGCAGAGATATAATTTTAACACCAGTCAGCACCCTTTACACTATTCTATCCTGGAACAGTGTATTTAAAGAGTCAACAGAATCTGGTAAGCCAAACACATATTTCATCTTGACCTGCCCCCACCACCCAATACTTCCTTTGATCCTCTTTCAAACCAGATCTTTTTTAGTTATCTCTCGATTAAAGATTACATTTTTTTAAAAAATATTTTTATTTATTTCTAGGAGAGAGAGAGAGAGACAGCGTGAGCAGGGGAGGGTCAGAGAGAGAGGGAGTCACAGACTGAAACAGAATCCAGGCTCCGAGCTGGCAGTCAGCACAGAGCCTGACGCGGGGCTTGAACCCACGAACCGCGAGATCATGACCTAAGTGAAAGTCGCCCCTAAAGATTACTTTAAAAAGTCTTTTCCTCAGGGGTCTCTGGGTGGCTCACTTGGTTAAGCTTCTGACTTTTGATTTTGGCTCAAGTCATGATCCCAGAGTCATGGGATTGAGACCTGTGTCAGGCTCCATGCTGTCAGCCTGGGATTTTCTCTTTTCCCCTCTCTCTGTTCCTCCTCACTTGTTTTCTCTCTCTCAAAAAGAAAGAAAGAAAGGAAGGAAGGAAGGAAGGAAGGAAGGAAGGAAGGAAGGAAGGAAGGGAGGGAGGGAGGGAGGGAGGAAGGAAGGGAGGGAGGGAGGAAGGAAGCTTTCTCAAATTTGTCCTTAAGCAGGGCTACTCAAATCTGTATTTTGGTTTCTCATACTCTATAGGTAACAGAGTGAATTATGGATTTCAAATGTCAGAACTAAATAAATATAGTATGTGCCAGTGCTAAGCAAACATAGGCAGCGTGATTTTTCTTTCAATAAGCTAGCATTTCAGTAGTAAATACAAATAGGGTACAAGTGGCCGTAACAAGATATACCCAGAATTTAAGCGGTTACTCTCTGAAGAAGAAACTTTAAAAATAAAAAACCCAAGAAAAATGATCTTAGTCTACTGCAAAATTCTCTCCTTCACCTCAGTGCTGGAATAAAAGAAATGGTGCACACATACAAATAAACACAAGAGATACTGGCAGAGATAGAGACACAGAAAGGCAAGCCGACACAGGCCAATTTCAGTCTAGGTAACTATCCCTTAACCTCAGAGAAGATCTTATTTACAGTGTAAGTGAATTAAGTTAAGTCAAATGGATTGTAACCTATCCAAATGAGAAATATTTGGTGAGCTGCATGAACTGCAGAAAAGCAGCATCCAGCTTTGGATCCTCTGTCCCCCTCTCTCTCTGCCCCTCCCCCACTTGCACACTCATGCACATGGCGTGCTCTTTCTCTCTCTCAAAAATAAACATTAAAAAAAAAAGAAAGAAAAGCAGCATTCAAATACAATAATTATTCTAGGTTTCTCTAGCACACTTCCTGGTAAGAAACATCATTTCTTTCTCTTTTTTCTTGAGAGGTGGGGAAGGCCAGAGAGAGAGGGGAAAAGATAGAATTTCAAGTGGGATCCATGCTGAGGCTCCGACTTGTGGCTTAATCCCATGACCTGGGAATTATGACCTGGGCCAAAATCAAGAGTCAGACCAACCAACTGAGCCAACCAGATGCCCCAGAAACATCATCTCTATATGATGAAAATATTCTGTTAAGGTACTGTACTGTAAAACGAAGATTAAATTCCTCAGGTTTTTAATGTTTTTTTTTGGGTCAGATGAACATATCTTTTAAAGCCATCCAAATCTCAGTGTTCTCTCTGTTCAATAATCTTAGTATCGCTAATCCAGTTTCCCAAGTGCCTCTGAAATTTTGAGGAGTGTCTTGTATCTCAATCTTGAGTGTGCTAGAAGAGTATATCACCCACTCTAATAAAGAAATTAGCAATCTGGAAGAAGGAAGAAAGGAAGGAAGGAAGGAAGGAAGGAAGGAAGGAAGGAAGGAAGGAAGGAAGGAAGGAAAGAAGGAAGAAATTAGCATTCTAGTTTTTCTCTAAATCTCCAAAAGATGGTTATCGTCAGTCAAGCCTTGAAGAGAGTAAGCTAATGTTTTGGGCTTATAGACCTTCGGACCAATCCCTCAACCATAGTAACTTTCAGGTTCCATCCTTTATGAGACTGTGTTATAATAATCCTCCCTCTAGTACACCAATTATCCCATCCTCTTAGAAATTCTTGAAATAATTAGCCTGTGGTTATGCTGGGGCTTTTTTTTTTAAAAAAAAAAAAAAAACAAGTCCCCCAGTGACTCCAACATGCAGCCAGTGTTGAGTACACTGATCTCTCCTTAAGTCCAACAAACATAATGCATATTATTCAAGTTCTGGCTGAATTATCCAGAAATCCTCATAAGATAGCCTGCAAAATTTGGGGGCAGCTGGCTGGCTTGGTAGGTAGAGCATGTGACTCTTGATCTTGGGGTTGTTAAGTTCAAGCCCTACATTGGGTATAGAGATTACTTAAAAATATAATTTCAAAAAAAAAATAAAGCCTGTAAAATTTGTACAGAAAATAGAATTTTACATTTCCTTTTGATTATGAAACAAAATAACCTTATTTAAAGAAATAAGCATTATTTCCCACAAACCACATTAGTTATTCTGATCCTTCAAAGCTAACATTCTATTAAATCATTTTATTAATTAAGAACAATTAAAAAAATTTTTTTAAATGTTTTATTTATTTCTGAGAGAGGGGGATACACACACAGTGTGAACAGGGGAGGATCAGAGAGAGAGGGAGATACAGAATCAGAAACAGGCTGAGCCTCCAGGCACTGACCTGTCAGCACAGAGCCCAACGCGGGCTTGAACCCAAGAACCATGAGATCATGAACTGAGCCAAAGTCAGATGCTTAACCGACTGAGCCACCTGGGCGCCCCTAAAAAAGAGCATAAGCAAGGGAAGGGCAATGAAAGAAGAAGAGAGAGATTCTTAAGCAAGTTCCAGGCTCAGCACAGCGACCAATGCAGGGCTCGATTTGAAGATCTTGAGATCATGACCTGACCCGAAATCAAGAGTAGGATGCTTAACTGACTGAGTTACCCAGGCATCCCCCTATTAAATTATTTTAAAATAATTTTTTATTCCAGGGGCACCCTAACACACAGTATCTCTCTCTCAAAAATAAATAAACATTTAAAAACTTTAAGAAAAAAGGGGCACCTGGATGGCTCATTCAGTTAAGCATTGTATATCGGCACAGGTCATGGCCTCACAGTCCATGAGTTTAAGCCCTGTGTCAGGCTCTGTGCTGACAGCTCAGAGCTTGGAGGCTGCTTCAGATTCTGTGTCTCCCTCTCTCTCTCTCCACTTCCCCTGCTCATGCTCTGTCTCCCTCTCTCAAAAATAAATAAATGTTACAAAATTTTTAAAAATTAAGAACAAAAAGAATTTTTGATTCTAGCAACCCTTTCAATATTTCACTGGACAGTTTTATAAATTATAAAAAACAAATTTCCATTAAATATTATCTATTATAAGATGTAAATTAAATTGATGAGGTACCTTAACACTTGAATGCAAGGGCATAGAATGAGATTTATACTAAAAGAATAATTCCAGGGGTGTCTAGGTGGCTCAGTAGGTTAAGTGTCTGACTCTTGATTTCGACTCAGGTTACAATCCCAGGGTTGTGGGATCAAGCCCCATGTCAGGCTCTGCACTGAGTGTAGAGCCTGCTTAAGATTCATTCTCTCGGGGCACCTGGGTGGCTCAGTCTGTTGAGCATCCTACTTCAGCTCAGGTCATGATCTCGCAGTTCCCAGTATCTCCTGAAGCAGGGAGACCACTTCGGACCCTGCTTTGGATTCCCTGTCTCCCTCTCTCTCTGCCCCTCACCTCCTCACTCTGTCTCTGTTGCTGTCTCTGTTTCTCTCAAAAATAAGTAAACATTAAAAAAAATTTTTTTAAGATTCATTCTTTCTCCCTCTATCCCACTTGCATGCTCTCTCTCTCAAAAAAAAAAGTTTCTTTAAAAAAATAAAAAATAAAAAAGTAATTCTGAAGAGCAGTAATACAGTGAACTGCATTTACAAATACAATTTAACAACTGCTTCAGTTAGTAAATTATTGCAATTAGAAAAAGTCCCAAATTCAGTAATCAAATTAATCAAAATTTGGGGATAATGTACTATCCCACACCACCTATTATATTTTAAGTAATCTCTACACCAAATATGAAGCTGGAATTCACAACCTCCAGATCAAGAGTTGGATGCTCTACCGATAGAGCCAGCCAGGCTCCCCCTCCTATGTCATTATTTAGAAGATGCAATTTGGGGTGCCTGGGTGGCTCAGTTGGTTAAGCCTCCGACTTCGGTTCATAGTTCTTGGGTTCGAGCCCCGCATCGGGCTCTGTACTGACTGCCAGCTCAGAGCCTGGAGCCTGTTTCAGATTCTGTATCTCCCTCTTTCTTTGACCCTCCCCGGCTCACACTGTCTCTCTCTCTCTCTCAGAAATAAATAAAACATTTTTAAAAAAATTTAGAAAATGCAATTTTACCTAATAATGTCCACAAAGCAAAACTCTGAAAAGACTTTAAAAGGCTAATCAAATTTTCAATCAATGGGTATCCTAACATTTTTAGATTTACCTCTAAAGGTTTACTATAAATTGTATTACATTCACCATATGAAAAATGAAATTTTAAAGGTCTGAAAGTATATAGTTGGCATATTCTTTTAATTAGAGAAGTAGTTACAGAAATCTACAGGCACAATGGGAGTATCCTAAGACAAGTAAAAGGCAGCAGTATAGTTTAAATCCATCTCCCTCCCACTTTAAACTGTGGCTACATCATTAATTAATCAAATTGGACAGGAAAAATGGGTAAATTTTACCTAATGTGTCAATTTAACTTTACATTATAAAACGTGTCCTTAAAATTATGATATTTAAAAGAAAAGGAATAATTACCACACCAAAAAGGCATTATATTTTCTTTCTCTTTCTGCTTTTGAAAGGCTCCTGTTGTATTACTGATAAGGTTAATGGCCAAAAGGACTAAACTCTGTCTTCTGTTATAGATAAACAAAGGCTACTAAATAAAAATTATGAAAATGTAACAAAGAGCACAGTTTTTAGTATGAAAGCTATTGAAACAAAATGAAACAGATGAGTCTGAATTGACCAAACAGGAACTACTAACAATGTCGAATCATCTGGCAAAAGAATATTCCTTTTTAAAGACTTTCTTTATGTTTAAAGATAGTTTATTTAAAATTACCAAACAAACCTAAATCTCACAACTTCTGATCTAGTTTCAATATAAAAATGGTCCTCTAAATGGGGCGCCTGAGTGGTTCAGTCGGTTGAGCGTCTGGCTTCGGCTCAGGTCGTGATCTCCCGGTTCGTGGGTTCAAGCCCTGCATTGGGCTCTGTGCTGACAGCTCGGAGCCTGGTGCCTGTCTTGGATCCTGTGTCTCCCTCTCTCTCTGACCCTCCCCTGCTCACGCCGTCCGTCTCTCTCTCAAAAATAAATAAAACATTACAAAAAACCAAAACATTTTTAAAAATGGTCCTTTAAAAGACATTAAGATTATCTTCTAAATCCATGATTTATTCATAAATTTGCTCAAAACAATCCCTTGAACAGACTTTAAAGTTAGCAACGGATACCCTCCTTACTAATTACCAGAGAAATTAAAACCATCCTTATCTTATTCTGCTTCCGAAGGACGTCTACATTCACAGAAATATGCATGTTACTAAGAAGTCCAGGGATGGGAATATCTCAACTTGTGAGTCAAAACTTGATGAGAACACTGATGGGCAGGGTTAACTATTTCTTCTAAATAAAAAGTTCCAAAGCAGAAATGCTTTCAAGACAGCCCAGGTACTTCCCAGATTCCCAAGGAAGGGACTTCAATATTTTAAAAGACTCCTATTTCTATACTTTCTGTAGAAGTTGACTGTGAAGAAACGTAGAGAACATGAAGAAAGAAAATCACATCGCCACAATGTGATCTTATGTAAAAATCATGTACCTTAAGATGAACTCTGATGAGACAGATAAAGCCTTAATAAATTCAATAACTTGGGTTTTATATTCTAACATATTATAATCTCCTTGTTCCTTAAAGCAACTAATTTGCCTGATAACAAAATTAAATTACACTTGCTCTGTATATTTTCTACTGCGATTTCCCCTACCTTTTTCATTTCTTCAACATATGCAATCATGGCTTCCTCTTTGGTCATATCACCCAGTGAACTCCAAGCATCCCTAAAAATGAAAATATCCAAATAACAAAAGACATCTTTTTTACAATTTCGCAAAATACAATTTATAGTAAATGCTATTGGACATTAAAACAGGCTCTCTACTTAAAGCCTATGCAAAGATATTAGGTTTCCAAAGGATCTCTTTAAATGTACCACAATATCAGAGTAAATAAACTGCCAAATTATGTAGTATTTAAAATTAGTAAACATATAGCCCATCTATAGATTATAGACTATATAAACAATATTATACACACTATAGAGCAGATACTATAGATTATTGATAAATATTTGCTATGAACTCTTCAGAAGTTTTCTATTATAAAGAGCAGTGACAGAAAGGAACATTTTAGAAGACTATATTAAATGAACTATCACAACCATGTTTCAAATGAACAGTTTGGGTTAAAAGTTTCCATTAATTTAAATAAGAGTCTAACATATTAACACATACACTCAAAAAACAGAAATGGTTTCCTACTTCTAAAAAAACAAAAATGTGAGGCACAGGCAACTTTTAAGTCCCTACACAATGAGAATACAGTAAAACCTTGGATTGTGAATAACTTGTTCAGTGGGTGTTCCACAAGATGAGCAATCATTTCTAATAAATTTTAATTTGATAAATGAATTATGTCTTGCAATATGAGTAGTACGTGACGCTGAACATCACATGATCACAACTGAGCCAATAGTTCTTGAAATTCGCTTCGATATACAAATGCTTTGGATTAGAAGCATGTTTCCAGGACAAATCATGCTCACAAACCATAGTTTTGCTGTAGTCCTTTGAAATTTTTGCCTAAAATTTTTGCCAATTCAGGGTAAAGAAATTTAGGCATCAAAATGTGTGGCTCTTAAGGCATGCCTCACCAATTAGCACACTCTGTTCATAATATACAGTTTGTGTTACAGAGATAGCTCTGGATATTTTATGATTTTCTTAAATACATTAAAAATCAAATTTCAGAAAAAAAAAAAATCAAACCAAATTTCTACTCAAGTACAGTGAGAAGGAGTAACAGCTTATATAAAAAGCCCAGTAGTATCTTAGTCATATTCCTAATTACTTATCATCTAAAGATTTAAAGCAAACAGTATCATTTGACAAGTAAAGTCATTACTTTTCCTGGCAGGTAAAAGAGTCAGGAGAGTTTGTTTGTTTAACTGAATTCAGGAGTTGCTCTTGGTATAATAAAATGAAAAGGAAAGACTAACTGAAAATGATTTTTGATCTTTGATGTACCTACCCTGTTGGGTTTTATTTTCTGTTTTCCTCTCTTCCCCAAGACTTTTCTATTTGTGTGAAATTGTGTTAAAAGCAGATGGGAGGATAAAACCTAGATCCAGTATGTTAGAACAGTTTATGCACAGAATAACACATAACCACATAAATAAGTCATATGATAATTATATCATTAAAATGAAATTTATTTCATAGGCCTCTATATAAAATTACCATTTATATCTTCCAATAGGATCCCAGAATCCAGGCCTTGACAGTTTACAGGGTCCTTCAGTTGCCTGCTTATAGAAGCTATAGAATTTGAGCATCATTTCATTTGTTGGCTGAAATGAACCTATTGGAGACATATTAAATACAGATCACATGGAGAACTCAATAGATAATAAGGGTATAAATCAGCTTAGCTATACTAATAGTGATTTTTGAAAATTTCATTAATAGTACAATCATTTACTTCTGTCTTATAGAAACAAACGTTATGGCTCCATCAGTTGCTTTACTCCTTTGACTTTAAAAAATGTATACTCTGCTTAACAAAACTTCAACATTAAGAAATTCAACTCCTCTTGGCCAAATTTCAATTTCTCGGTGGATAAGGAAGTCTGGCTAAAGTGAACCAGTGTCTGCTGTAGTAGAAAAAGATAAAAGAGCTTTCTCACTGCTTACCTCTGTAATTTTGGATATATCAATTTCTTTGATAATCACATCAATCTTCATATATGTCTATAGCATATCTGTAACCTTTTTTGTTAAAATTTCGAGTTGTATGAATGAGTGCTCTAAGCTGCAATACTTAATAACAGAGAAAAATTGGGATACAAATGTTTTATAATAAATAATTGACTAAATCGTATTGATACATATATACAGCATGATCATTTATAACTACAGCCCTTAAACATTATATGGTATGAAAATATAAACAACTGAGAAAAGTTTCACAATCTACTATAAAGTAAGAAAATAACAGTAATTTAAAAATAGCATATTCAGTACAATCCATTTTTGCAAAGTAAGTTTTTGGGCACATAAAAAGCAGAATAGAAGGAAACACATCAAAATGTTAAAGAAGATATCTCTGGATAGTAAGTACACAGATTATTTTCCTTCTTGCTTATTTGTGTTTTAAAATTTCTTACATTCAGAGTGTTTGTGTATTACTTTTATATCAAAATTATTATAAAATACAAATTAAAACTATAAAAAGATATTTTAAAAACTTTCTAGATTGCATAATAAACACATAACATGTAGTAATGAAAAACTAGTAGTTTATAAACATTGTGAAAATTACAAAACAGATAAGCTGAGAGCTGGTGTTTCAGGTTTGCCAGGAATGAATAATTAATTCCAAAATCACAGTAACTATTATCTATATAATATATGCTCCTTTAGGAGTATCTATCAGATGTATTATTTCAATAATATTGTCTTCCTTTACATAAGAGATTAAAAAAAGGAAAATTACAGTTAAAAGGGTTACGTACTTTTTTAAGCTTTGAAATAAAGTTTTAATTGAAAAAAAATTTATTTAAATGGTTGCCTATTTAAATAACACAAATCTAAATTTAAAACATCAACGGCCTCATATCAAAATATCTTTAGTGAGTCAAAATAAGATTAAAAATTTGTTTTTAATGTTCATTTATTTGGATAGAAAGAAAGAATCTAAAGCAGGCTCCAGCACTCTGAGTGCAGAGCCTGACACAGGGCTCAACCCAAGCCAAAATTAAGAGATGGCTGCCGAACCAATTGACCCACCCAGGCGTCCCAAGTCAAAATGAGATTTAAAGTTCATTTGTTGGGGTTCCTGGGTGGCTCAGTAGGTTGAGCATCTGCTCTTGATATCAGTCCAGGTCATGATCCCACGGTCCTGGGATTGAACCCTGAGTCAGGCTCTGTTCTAAGTGTGGAGCCTGCTTAAGATTCTCAAGATTCTCGCTCTCACTCTCCCTCTGTCCCTCTCCCCCACTTGCACTATCTCTCCTTAAAAAAATAAAATAAAAATCTTTAAAAATTTGGGGTGCCTGGGTGGCTCAGTTGGTTAAGCGTCCGACTTCAGCTCAGGTCATGATCTCATGGTTCATGGGTTTGAGCCCTGCGTCAGACTCTGTGCTGACTAGCTCAGAGCCTGGAGCCTATTTCAGATTGTGTCTCCTTCTCTCTCTGACCCTCCCCTGCTCACGCTGTCTCTCTCTCTCTCTCTCTAAAAATAAATAAAAACATTAAAAAAAATTAAATAAGAAAGTCTATTTGTTAAGGTAAGTGATATATACATTAGAATAGATTACAGCAAAAACTGATAACGTATTGAATATACTCTGTGTGTAAAACACTAGATAATGTATAATCTGTCCTCAAGGTTCTTGCTCATGCATAATATATTTGATATATGTATTTAAAATGTTATCTAAGAATTTAAATATGTAAAGGCCAAGGGCAAACCAAACATCAATGCTATAGGATTCATTATAACTTAGACCTTAAATAAAGATTAAGCAACAAGGAACAAAAAAAACTGTAAGATCTTACTCTTTGCAAAATAGTCCAGAGCAGATCACACCAATTAGAAACTACTATTATAAAAATAATTCATTATAATAAGACTTCTAGCTTTAATTAATATCAATTTAATATCAGGGGATAACAGTATGCTGAATATCATCCAACAAAGGAGCCATTTGCCAGGGTACCTTAACCTTGCAATAGCTTGAAGTGTTATGTAAATACAGTTTATGTTTACCTGGGTTTAATTCAAAATATCCATCATCAAAGATAGTAGACTAGAGACATAAGTTCTACCTTTGGCAACTCTCAAAAAATTATAAAAGTGTGTGGTTTAGGAAAAGGATAAAGATACAACTTATGTAAAACTCTTAGAGTGATGCCTTTCTATAAACTCTCTTAATCAGGCATTTAAAAATCAGTAGCTAAATAAGTTGCTATATTATTTCTTTAGATGTTGTTCATTTATTCTTATCTTTCATCCCCCTCCTATGACCTCCTCCAGTTCCATGTTTGAGATTACAGAAGGAATAATATTTTGTCTATTTGTTTTCAAAACCCTTTGAATCTGCACTTCATGAATTTTTATTAAGTGATGTCGAATAGTCATTACCAAGCCAACTGATGATTAATTAAAATCAATTCATTAGAACATATTAAATACTATAATAATATATTAATGAAGTATTCAGTGAGTTTTACACTTGGCACAGTCACAGTGCTTAAACGTATTATTTAAAAATACAAGTTTATTGCGGAAAATAATTCATATAATGCAGAAAGACATGAAGTAAAAGACAAAAGTCCTCCTGGCCAAACCTTTCCACAGGGGGGAAAAAAAAACCTTGTGTAACGGGTTTATACTTCCCAACATTGGTCCAACGCATAATTACAAATTCAAAAAACTTTGTAAATTCCAAACCCGGGGAAATTTGAAGAAAACCACACCTGGCCACATCACAGTCAAACTACTGAAAACCAAGGATAAAACGAAAAATCCTGAAGATAGCCTGAGAAATGACTTTTCTCCTAAACTGCAAGGAAGGCCCAATATAAGTATAAGAAAGAGAACACTACTGTAAAGAAAATAGCACACACACAAAAAAGTACCAAATATATATATTTATTAAATCCTTTTACAAATGAATATGGCTGTTCTTTCCTTTCTCTCCCTTCATATCAAAAGTTTCTGGAAGGTTTAAATAGTACAGTTTATGAGTATGCGCACAAGGCATACTACCCATCCCAGTTGTTGTTGTTGTTTTGTTTTTTTTAACGTACCCAAATCCGCAGTCATAAAGCGGCAGACTTTTGTTTTCAACAATAAAAACTACTCAAATCTGGATAACATATTTGTCTCTTGCTTGAAAAGATGAGCAGGTAATCAACTCATATTCTTTACCTCGCCTTCGACTACATTCCTTTAAAACGCAGAAACGAAGTAGGTTAAATCAGCAAGACTACAAACAGAAATAAGGTTAAAGGAGCTGAGGTTCCGAAACTGGGGCCGCGGGCCTCTGCAGGAGGCTTCTTTAGAGCGGCCCCAGCGCACTTACCATTTTTCGGCAAACTCTGGATCACCTTCACCGCCGCTTCAAACCTGGTTTCGTGCACGGATCTCGTGTCCGCCATCTCCAGCCGCCAGCGCCGGCCCCGGTCCCGGTCCCAAGATCTGTCGGCTGGAATCAGGCAGCAGCAGCACCAGCTTTCCCAGGAGCCTGCATGAAACTGGAACATGGAGCGCAGCCGCGGATCAACATGCCCAGAGGGAGGAGGCCCACGCAGCTGGTCAGTTCCCCGTGGCCCTGCCCTATCCAGGCCACACAGACTGAGGCGGCCCAGCTCCTTCCTCCTCCCCAGGGCGTGACCTAGGCCGAGAAGCCAGCCGCGCGCAGACAGAAAAACAACTCACCGAGAGGAAGAGCATCTCTAGCACAACACAGAGGGGCTCCGGCCACCAGCGGTCGCGGAGCCGCTCTCCCACCCGCAGGACCCTGGCGGAGCAGCCACACTCCCCATCCCGGCGGGGTCTGTGGGTCTGTCCGCGCCCTCCCCACAGCCCCGCCCCGGAGCTACTAAAGGACCCACGAGCTGCAGCCGCCGACGCCGCGCAGCCGACTCCACCCACCCGCCCAGCGTCCGAGGCGACGACGCGCGCTGCTGTCGGTCCCTTGCGTAGGGCCAGAGAAGAAGGCAAGGGAGAGAAGTGACACGGACCGGGTCCTTGGCGTTTGAAACAGGCCGCACCGCCGCGTCCGTGCCAGTGCAGCGGGGCAGCGGGAGCGCACAGGGAACGCAGGGTTATTAGATCCTGCGCCTGGGCCCAAAGCGTAGGTACTGCTTGGGCAAAAGACCCTGCGGTCCACAGCTCCTCCTGCCCTCTTAGGTTAAGGTTTGAGGAAGGTGATGGGACACAAAGGGCTTTATATCTGGAAAGGCTCCGTGCGAACCTTATGTTCTGCCCTTCGAGTTCTGTGACCTAGAGCAAGTTACTTAGCCTCTCTCCATTGGCAGTTTTAGAGCACCCTCAAGGGTAGATGAAAGAATTAGAGACTTCGGATGAAAGTGTTTAGCAGTACTTGATCCGCAATTCTTCGGCAATTCCTCGACAGCTTTAGCCGCCTGGAGTTAAGAACGTTCGAAAGTAACCTAACCAAAGGAGTGGGGGATGATTGTCTGCCACTAGACTGGGTCTGGGAAGGGAGGGCGCCTTCCCTAGCACCACCACTAACACCTCCTGGGAGCCGGGCACAGCTCAGCTTGAGCCTGATTTAACAGGCGGCAGGGTCGAGGGAGGGGGCATTGAGGAACCAATACGGAATGTCAACCCTAAAACGGGGTAACGTGGGCCTTCACCTGCTACCGTAAAGCCTCGCTACCTCAGGCACTTGGAATAACCCCCAGGCCCAGGGTGGGGGGACTAATATGGGTTTGGGGGATGGGGTCCTGGGGCGCGGAAATCCTCAAATCGCCAGGGCCTTTTTTTTTTGTCAGCTCGGTTTGAGTTAGGCGGATTACTAGCAGAAATCTAAGCGCAGAGGGTAAATGACTCTTCCCTCTGAGCCGCACTGCCGGGATTTACCTTGGCATTGCCCGGCAAGGCCTGTCCGGTAGTCCCCGACGCCCGCCCCTCGCCTAGGCCCGTGGACTTGTGGGAAATGTAGTCCCCCCGCCCCCCGCCTTCTCTGGAGCGCTTCCGGATACCTCCTGGGGAGGCTGGCGTTCTTCCCACCTGTTCCGGTTCGTTTTCTCCATCCCGCAGACTTTCGAGTCGTTGCGGCGGAAATCCCACCTTCGCACAGCGTCGCACTCAGCTATTTCAAGATGCTACATCCGCTTCCCGCGAGAGGGACCCTCAGTGTTCTATTCAGAGGTGACCAGTGTGATTTGGAGAACTGGAATGTAATTTTTTTGCTCCTGATTGGTTACTAACTTTGAAGCCTAGGATATGAAAACAAGTGTCGTTTAGGTAATAAAGACTACTGCTTTGCTGAGTGCCTGATATTTGCCAAGACAATAGCACATATTCCAAAAATGCTATTGGGTGTTTATGAATGAGGAAATCGAGGCTTACGGTAACTGATTTGCCCAAGGCCCCACAATTTAGTAAGTAAGTGGAGCCGGGAGTCAGTCCAAGCAACTCTTGCTTTAGATCTTGGACTTTTTCCGGGATACCCAAAATGTAAGAGACTAACAATTCTTGTAGTTTACTCAAACTATGAAGACTATATGTTTTAATAACCTGCTTCCCCTACTCTTTTTTTTTTTAAATTTATTATAGTCTTTTAAAATTCAATCTGTTTAGCCATGCATAAGCAGACTTGGGTGTCTATTTCGTATCTAGGACTGCATTTTGACAACTCTTCATGAAGTTTATGTAATAAGCAAATTTACAGCATGTTGGTCTTTAGTCAAGGATGAGTAAGACTTTTCTACCAATGATTTATGTCAGATTTCCATTTGCAGGTAGTAGGGATTTCCAATCAAGGAGAATAGCATAAGGAGAAAGAAAATTGAGGTTATTCGGATAAAGGTATTTAAAAGTAGCTGTGCTGGTTCAGATTTGGTACCTGCTACTGAAACACATGATGAATTTGATGAATTCAAGTGCTTAAGTGCCTTCCATTTATGAGAACAACCTATAATTCTACCTAAAATATATAGAAAGGTAAACATTAAAATATCAAACATAGGTAAAAAGACAAAATGAGAAAAAAATACCCTTGACAGTTATTTGGAAATACTATCTATTATGAATTGAATATGTCTCAAAAATTCATATGGTGAGGCCCTGACCCCCAATGTGACTCTATTTGGAGACCGGGCTGTGATAAAGGTTTAATGAGACCATAAGGGTGGAACCCTAATCTACTAGGGCTAGTGTCCTTACAAGAAGAGAAAGAAATACCAGAGCTCTTTCCCTCCACTATATGATGACATAGCAAAAGGTGGCCATTTGTAAGCCAGGAGGAGAGCTCTCACCAGGAACCAAATTGGCCAGCAACTTGATTTTGGACTCCCTAGCTCTAGAAGTATTAGAAATGAACTTCCATTGTTTAAGCGACCGAGTATATGGTGTTTTAGTGTGAAACCCCAAGCAGACAAAGGTTCCAGTCATACTTCTAAAAGTCATAGCCAATGCAATAGAACAGAAAAAAAAAGAGGCATAAATATAAGAAAGGAATTATTATTTTTAGATAGAATTGTCTATCTAGAAAAATAGCATTGAATAAACAAAAATACTATGAAATTAATGTAAGAGTTGAGAATGTGAATAAGATAAATATTCAAAATCTATAGTTTCCTATTAGAATATTGGAAGACAAAAATCAAGTCCAGACCATTTACAATAATGTGGATGAAACTAGAGGGTATTGTGCTAAGTGAATTAGACAAACAGGTGACTTTACTCATATGTGGAATTTAAGATACAAAACAGATGAACATATGGGAAGGGAAGCAAAAATAATGTAAAAACATAGAGGGGGGACAGAACATAAGAGACTCTTAAATACAGAGAACAAACTGAGGATTGCTAGAGGGGTTGTGATTGGGGGGATGGGCTAAATGGTTGAGGAGCAGTAAGGATGGGATGAATCATGGTTTCTTCTCCTGAAATCATTATTGCACTATATGCTAACTAACTTGGATGTACATTTTTAACAAAAGCAATTTTTTTAAGTTTAACAAATAAAAATGTTTTTTAAATATATAAAAAAAAAATCAAGTCCAAGTAGATTAAAGACTTAAAACATGAAAAGAAAAACTACAAACTTTAAAAGGATAAGACAGTCTTAACTGATGCAACAAGATTAGGGAAAATAAATGAGTTCTAAGAATCAGACGGGGCGCCTGGGTGGCTCAGTCGGTTAAGTGTCCGACTTCGGCTCAGGTCATGATCACACAGTTTGTAGGTTCGAGCCCCATGCTGGGCTCTGTGCTGATGGCTAGCTTAGAGCCTGGAGCCTGCTTCAGATTCTGTATCTCCCTCTCTCTCTGACCTTCCCCTGCTCACGCTGTCTGTCTGTCTATCTGTCTCTCTCTCTCTCAGAAATAAATTTAAACATTTAAAAAAATCAGAAAGAAAAAGTAAATATTACATTATTTGCAGGCGATATGTTGGTCACATAGAAAATTTAAGGGAAGCTACTGTTATTACAACTAAGAAAGGATTCAGTAAGGTTGTTGAACATAAAATCAATCAATAATGATCCTTTAAAACAAGAGTTATAAATTACAAAATGTAATAGGAAAAAATATTCACAATAGCAATAAATTCCAAAGTTCTAGAAACAAAAGACATAAAACATCTTTTTGGAGAAAAATTATAAAATTTATCTGGGCATGAAACACCAGAATAAATAGACATATGGTAGTTATATCCAAAATTGTAAAGATGAAAATTCCTCCCAAATTATCCATAAGAACAATATGACTCCAATTACAATCTCCATAGGACTCTGAAGAACTTTATAAACTGACTCTAAAAACCCTACAGAAAGGCCCAGAACAGGTAAGATGATTCCAAAAAGAATGTAATGGAATATTATATTAATCAGGGTGGGCTTACTGCTACAATCAACAACTGCAATATTTCAGAGGCTTAACACAATAAAGTTTATCTGCCATATCACAGTCCAATAATAGTGCCAGAAGAGCAAGGGGAAGGATGATTCTGCTCCGTTTAGTCTTCCAGGAATGCAGGATCCTCTGTCTAGTGGCTCCATCGTCCCATAAGACATGAGTCCTCCACTGGATCTTCCACATTCAGCCAGAAGAAGAGGTTTATAGAGAGAAGGCATGGAGAATCTCAAGGGAGATTTTTAAGAGCCAGGTCTGGAAGTGGCAAATATTGCTTTCCACCAACATTTCACTGGTCCAACTTCAATCATGACTGAAACATTTTAGGGGCAACTGGGTGGCTCAGTCCATTAAGTAAACTACTCTTGATTTTGGCTCAGATCATGGTCTCACAGTTTGTGAGAGCAAGCGCCATGTCAGGCTCTGTGCTGACAGTGCGGAGCCTGCTTGGAATTTTCTTCCCCCCCCCCCCCCGTCCCTTTCTCTTTCTCAACATGAATAAATAAACTTTTTAAAAAATGACTGAAAAAATTTAGCATAGCTAAGTTTCTAGAGAAAAAGAAAACTTGGCGAACAAACAGCCGTCTCTACACAGAAGATTGGTCCGGCCAAGTAGCATACTTAAAAAGCATTAGCAATTAATAAGTGTGTGATATTGATGGAAGAAAAGCCATTTAGTTTACAGTGGGACAGAACAGAGAACTGAGAGATAGGGATTAAAAATTATTGGAGAAAGTACAAACTATTTAATAAGTAGCAATGGAACAACTCTATATAGAAACCAAAGATAATGAGATAGATGCTTTCTTCAGATATACACATAATAAATTCCACACAGATTAGGGACTTAATGTGTAAAGTACATCTTTAAAGTCATTATTAGAAAAATAGAGCTGCTGCATTACAAAACTCCAGAGGGCACCATTCATCCTATAATGTATATTAATTAGCACCTCCTGAAGTTATGTAGCACATTGGTCTTGTTTATGG